TAAAATATATAGTTGTCCAGTGTGTCTGGAGGGAGTTTCACTCATGGCAAAGCAATTTGTTCTAGATTAATATTTTACAGGTATAAAAAGTCCCGAATGCAAATATCTGACAGATCTGTCTCATTCATGGGAGATTCAGTCAAGCATAACTGGCTGCTTTCTGTGGCCTCTGGAGGTGGGAGAGGAGGAAGGCCTAGGGCTCCTGAGAGGGGAGGAATGCAGGTGGGCAGCCCTGCCCACACCAGGCCCAGGAGCTGTGGGTAGAGACTGGCTATTGTGGAAGAAATGCTGCAAGGAACTGAGGTCTTAGCTGAAAAGAAAAAAAAATCTATATCTTTGGGGCTTTGGGATCAAGGTTCTTGTCCTTGGACTTCCCCTATTCTGTAGAGATTAATTTCAGTGGTTCAGTCTAGGCAACATCAAGCACTTGACTATGCAGTGAGTTTTGTCCTTATTTGGACACAAAGGCCTACTTTCCTCCCCAGGGAACATGGTCTCAATTAGCAGAATAAAGTCTACAAAAGAAAATTCACTGTTCTATTCTCGAGGTTCACTTATGTCTCTGGGTAAATGGCATGGAAGGAAAAGGAACCCTATAGTATGGTGTAAGAATTTCAAAATGCTTGTAATTTTAAAAAGCTTGTCTAGAGCTCATCCTAAATCAGATTTCAACTTATCAGGTTGTGTTGTTGCTGCTGCTGTTGTTAGCTTTGTTTGCCTTGAAAACATTGGAGGTTCAGTTACAAATTTCTGAAATTTTGCTTTAAAATCAAGATTCCATGGGAATGATTGACACTAGCCTTCAAAGAAACTTGGAGGTAGAACTTAACCAGCTGGTGAATGTTTGCCAATAAATGTATGGAGTTAAAAGATCTTTCAGTGATATGTACCTTCTAACCATGCAGGACAAATAGGTAGTGTTGGACATGGCTCCTATTTGTCCCCGAAAGCAGGTAGCCCCCGACCATCTGCCCAGCTGTCCTGTCAGATCTCCCTACCCGTATGCTCTCCTGTTTTAAAGGGCAACGCTTGCCTTTTAATATCTTCAGTGACATTAAAGAAAAAAAGAAGTCCCAAAGTTCCACATGGCAAAACTAGCATACATGACAGGAATTTTAACTAAGGGGCTAAAGGCAAATCCGTATGTACAAAAACCTGGAGGAATTTCTGGAGGGTCTGATAAGTGCTTAAGCTGTGGCATTAGACAGATGTGGCTTCCGACTTTGACAAATCACAACCTCTCAGAGGCTCATCTAGTAGGATAGGTGACTGCCTGTCATGATAACCATGACTACTCTGTGGGCAAGGCTGAGGGTTAAAGAAACAAGGCCTGTGCAAGTGTGGACCTCAGGCAGGCTGAACCTGGGCCTGCTGAGGGACGTGCCTGAAGAAATAGCCATCACTGCATCCATTCTCACAGCCAGTCCTCGGGACTGGGCTGAGCCTACTGGTCACTGTTTGCTTGTTCCTTGTGATCAGGCAGAACTCTACCCAGGCTTCTCAAAAGATAAATGAGAGGAGAACCCAGGAGGGTGTCAAATCCCTGCGAGAATGGCAAAGGAGGCCTCTCACCTGGGCAAGTCTTGCTCTGAGCAGCTGGTAGTCACTGCGATGCTGTCGTTGTGGGGAGATGTAAGGCTCTGGGGAGTGAATGCCACTCTGGGAGCTGTGTGTTGTCCACTGTTTAAGTTCCCGAAATTTTCTTATCTTTTGCCACTGAAGAAATTGTATACCTTGAGTGTCCACTGGAGTTTTTCCCTTATTCTCATCACTGTCAGATGGGCAATCCCTCAGTGTGTAAGTGCTCAGCAATCCAGAGCACCACAGGACTTGGTGTCTTTCTGTAGCCCGCTCTGCCAGACATGCGTCCATGCCAACATGAAGTAGGCTCACCTGTGGACAGGGCATCCTAGTTTCTCATGGTTTCTTTCACTTACCTCAACCCCGTCTTGAGAACACTCTCTAAAACCCCTTCTCATCAATGTGGATATATCCTTTTCATGTTCCCAATTTCAGTCCCTCTCTCCTTTTCAAGAAAATCTGGGGCTTGAACAGCAGCCAAGGAGAACAGATAATGCCTAGGAAGTGACACTCAGTTGGAGGAAGAAACAATTATTCTAGACTAGCTCTCTGCTCCGATGTCAGAATTGTCCCCAGACCTGATCTCCACTTAACTCCATCTCTGCATCTCCACACTAACCTGCGGAGGGAGATATGGCAGCGGGTTGTGCAAAATGATAAGAAAAACCTCCCATCCAGTCCTCCTCACTCACCCCTCCCATGTCCTCTTGATTCATTCATTTATACAAGTGTTGAGTGTCCGCTATGTCCTGATCCTGTTCTAGATAATGAAGATACAGCTGTGAAAAAAAGGGCAAACTTCCCTTTACATTCTAGTGGGGGAGGGGAAGATAGACAATAAACAAGATGAACAAGTGAACTATAGTGTCAGGTGGTTTAAGTGCAATGGAGAAAATGAGAGGTAGAGAGAGTTGCAGGGGGTAGTTTCCAATTTTAAATCAAATTTAAAATGAGCCTATTGATATCTGAGAGCACAACCTTCCAGGAAGCAGCTGGTCCAAAGGCCCAGAGGCCAGAGCATTTATACTTGAGAGCCAAGCAAGGGGGTCAGTGTGCTGGAGCCAAGTGAGTGTACCAGAATTAGGGAATGAGGTCTGAGAGATCATGAGGGAAGGATTCAGATTATGCAGGGCCTTGGAGGTCATGATAAAGACTTGGGCTTTTATCCTCATGAGATGGGAAGCCATTGGAAAGTTAGAAACACAAGTCATGATCTGATTTATGCTCAAAGACCGCCCTGGCTACCCTGCTGAGACCAGATTACAGGGAGGCAAGAGGAGAGTCGGGAGACCTGTGAGATTGCCATAGTCATTATCCAGATGAGAAATGATGTTGGCTTGGAATAAGGTTGTTGTGAGAAATGTCATATTTTGGAACTAGATCCAGTAGAATGTATTAATGGATTGAATGTATGATGTGAGGGAAAAGATGGAGCCAGAGATGGCCCCAAAGCTTTTGGCCTGAGAAACTGTAAGGGTGGAACTGCCATTCGATCCTAGAACAAGGTCAAAGAATGGCTGGAGTCCTGCTAAACACTGCTGCTTTGGCTGCAACTTAGGGTGGGTCTAAAGAGTCTAATTAGGATTTCGTCTGAGACACTTATCAATTTTATCCTTTTTTTAAATAACCCAAATAACAAATATTTCAAATTGCAAAGCAAAAAATTTAAATAGGATGACAGTATATACCTTACACAATGAAGAATGTGACGATTATTATTTTTTATGAGATATTTCATTCTTGCCTAAGCGTGCCTAAGTGACTAAGCATGAAAGCAAAAACAAAGCAAAACAAACAAAGTAAACCAAAACTTGATGCTACCTAATAACTTTCATGAGGCAGCCATAACTGTTTTTAAATCAGGCTTCAAAACTGCTAAATTTCACAAACTTAAATGCTGTTGGCCGCAGCAGTCCTTATTCCTCACCCATCTCATTGGTCTTAATTCCCCCTTCAAAAGGACAAAAGGCAAAAAAAAAAATAGTGAGATGGAAAAAGCATAATTCAAAAACACAGGTAAAAGTAATTTTTTGTCTCTGGATCTAAGTTCAAATTCATTTTTTCTGACCACAGGGGAAAGCAAAGAAACGAACTCTCTAGCTCTGGTGTTTCTAGCTCTCTCTCTCTCTCCATGCATTTTTGAGCAATTTTTAATCCGTGTATTGTTGTGTTTAACAGTATATAACCAGGACGACTTATTATATTTTTCTCATATTTTAGAGCAGTTTTCATGAGGAATTGTGCAAATGTTCTCTAATATACACCTCTTCACAAGAAAGACAACCTTAAACAGATATGTAAGACTAAGCCCGAAGTGAAGAAGGCAGCTTTCTGTTGATTACACTGAGCCTTGGGCCCCATGTTTTTCCTGGGCGGGGCGGGGGAGGGGTGGGGGGTGGCAATGAAGCTGCTAGGAAGTTGTTGGAGGACTTTACCTAACCCTATGATCTCTGCCAACACCAGATCCTCTCCCAAGCAAACCTATCACCCACTGCATGCTTTCAACTCAAAGCCAACACCTCTACCTGATCCTCAACCATCACCTGTGTCCCCAAACTGTCATTCATAAGATCCTTGTACATAGAAATTATGAATGTGCAACCAGGAAGAGACCCTTCGTCAGGAGGGTAGAGTAGTGAATGTGGTATGAGTTGGAGTTAAGGTTTCTTTTTCACTTTGTTGCTGAAAAATACCTGATTTTGAGAATAAGGTTAAATTTTTTGAAGGCAAAATTAAAAAACAAACAAAACAAAAACAGAAAAGAAAACCTGAATGTGAATATGTGCTAAATGAGGAAAATTGTATTGAGTAGGCATCCTCTAGTATTTAGAGGTTATTGTGGATAATCTTAGTCTAGATATTAATCTAGAGATCATGAGGTTCTTTTCAAATACTATTCTTATTTACATAGGTAAAAAATTTGTTCATTAAGTAGAAATAACTTATATAGAAAATAAATGTATGAACAAATATATATAAAATAGAAGTGTATGGGAAAATATTCATTAATGTAAAAAATTCATTCATATAAAAGTTGGCACATCTATGTCAAATTGTCTCAATAAAGAGTGAAAAAGATTGCTTCAGAATTGCTTGTCTATAACGCTAGCTGTCAAAAATTAATTCAACAACAGTTTGTTAAATGCTTACTATTCCTTGGTTCTTAAATTTTTCAGAAGAGTGGAGATTGTTGTTAGAGATGTTAAATTCAGAAGTAAAGCTCTGTATTTCATGTAGAGTCCTTATGTTTTTTTTTTTTTGTTTTTTTTTTTGAGGAAGGGGGCATGTTGCTTAAATTTAATTTACAAATGAAATATAAAGGAGGAAAGAATGAATAAAGAAGTCCCCAAAGTGTAACATTGCTTTAAGAAAATATCGAAACGATTTTCAGTGAGATCTTTCCAACGAGCCATTTCACCCTCAGAGGGCTTTTGATTTCCACTTGCAGAGCCACACCACCTCACGGCGTTTCCACGCATCTCTCTTCACTTCTTCGGCTGCTTCTGTCTAGCATGGGCCGATACGTCTCCGCCACCACACAGTAACCAGTGCGAGGTGTTAGAGCTTCGATTTCAACCATTCTGCGAGCTCCTTCGTATACCTTTTGCTCCTATACACAAGGGAAAATAAAAGAGATGATAAATGGTTCTCAGTAAGTCACTGATTTACTCTATTTTTAATACACTTAGTGAGTTGTTCCTGGTCACAGTTGCAGATGTGCAGATGGGCTGTAAGGTTTCTTCTAAGACACAGCCTTCTTCTCCAGAGTCCTGGAACACAGCCTGATAACGAGGCAAGTCAAGTGGCTTGGGGGTGGGGTGGGTATACATGAGGGCTGCTGATTGACCCGGTGGTGAGTCTCTTTTTCAAGAATTTGAACTGTGCGGTGAGGAGAATGGAGTAGATCTGGAGACAGCTGCAGACATGCAACATGTGACCACAGAGAGGCAGAATGGGGTTTTTGAAGACTTGCTTCTCCATTTCTCCTTCCCAGCCCTTACAAAGCTGGGCAGCACTTGCCTTCCTGCTTCTTTCCTAATTAAACTCCTCCCTTCCACCTATCTGTTTTCTACTTGAACCAGTTTGAATGGGGTTCTGTTCCTTAGAACTTAAGGAACCCAGTCTTAGATGGCCACCCAGAAAAAGAACCTTCAATTAACCATCAAATCAAGATAAAGGTACTGACAATGAATTCAAATATCATAGCAAAACGGGCACAAATATATAATGCTTTGATTCAAAAGCCACTTTAAAATAAGGTGTGGAAAGTCCATTAAAATGAATATTTGTAAAGTTCAAATGGAATTAAATATTGTTGATACCTGTCTGTAAATATGCAGGGAAGATGACGTGGAGACAAGCTGAGGGACTAAAAGATGCAAACACACACACGCATGCACACAGATTCTGAAGGTGATGCCAAGCACTAATTCCGTGTCAATGAGGGTGAAGGTGAGAGGGAACTAAAAAATATATAAGGAAGAATAAAAAGGGAAAGAGTAGCAAGGGAGAAGATATTTTATGGCTAACATGTTAGTCAAATGAACAAAAGAAAAAAATATCAGACTTATCTATTCATCTTAACTTACCTTTTCTAGTGAATTGTTAATTATAAAGACTCGGTATACTAGCTCATAGTAATTTTCCATTGATACATTCTTTTCTTTTGGGTTTCTATACGGTATATTTGGAGCATGGAGAATCACCAACAAGGATCCATTAATTTGGGTTATATTCATGACTGGAGGATCTATTTTTGCTGGAGAAAGAATAGAAAACTTTGACAAATCATTTTAAAAAGTAATATTTCACATGGATACATTATGTATAATAACAAATTATTATGCAATTCAGAGATCTGGCAAAAATTATTATTAAGAGATACTGTTGACACCTAAAATATAATCTGAGAAGTTTCTTGGAAGATAATTTTTTATTTACAAAGACTAATAGATTCTGTTTCAGCTTTATTTATCTATCATTTCCACAGCCTGCAGTGATTATTTTAGAAAATGAAGTCTATAACTTTGTTTTTTATAATAAAATCTTGATTTTTGATTATGTTTTTATTCCCTCTGTTATATCATTAAACTTATTTATTTTATCTACTTTCAACATTACAATACTTGAAGTGCTAAACATATAATTATGGGTTGAATTATGTTACTCTCAAATTCTTAGGTAGAAGTCCTAACCCCCAGTACCTCAGACTGTGACTGTAACCGAGGATGAGGCATGCCTTTAAAGAGGTAACTAAGGTAAAATGAAGTCACATGGATGGTATGGATGGTCCCTAATCCAAAATGACTAGTGTCCTTATCAGAAAATGTGGACATGGGCAAACACAGAGGGATGACCATGTGAGGACATGGCAAGATGGCCACTTATATGCCAAGGAGAGACTTCTAGTCTTCAGAACTGTGGGAAAATACATTTCTGTTGTTTAAGCCACCCACTCTGTGGTATTTTGCTATGGCAGCCCCAGCAAACTAACATATATATATAAATAAATGCATTTAGTTTTTGGAATCATATCATATATACTTTTTGTGTGTGTCTGGCTTCTTTTACTCTTTCACTTTTTTATATAATTATATATGTGTGTGTGTGTGTGTGTGTGTATGGGCTGAATTATATATTATGTATTAGATACATATTTATCCATGTTGCATTTATCGATAGTTTGTTCTTTTTCCTGCTGCGTGGTATTTAATTGAATAAATATCACAATTCATTGTGTTATTCATTAGGTTGTTTCTAGTTTTTGACTATTATGAGTAAAGTTGCTATAAACGTTCCTGTACATGTCATTTGGGAAATATGCATGTTGTTGAGAATATAACTAAGAGTGGAATTGATATATATATATATATATATATATATATATATATATATATAGAGAGAGAGAGAGAGAGAGAGAGAGAGAGAGAGAGAGAGAGAGATTGTATAGATATTGTCGGTTTTCCACCATGGATACACCAATTTATATTCCTTCCCTTCAGCAGTATATGAAAGTTCCGGTTTTTCACATTCTCTCTAACACTTAGTATTAGTCTCAAAATGTTTAAATTTTAGCCATTGTGGTAAATGTGTGTGCTGATACTTTGTGTTTTTAAATTACATTTTATGATAATTGATGGAATTGCATGTTTATTGCATAGTTGGATATCCTCTTTTGTGAAGAGCCTGATCAAATCTTTTGCCCATTTTTAATTTGTTTTTTTTTATTATTGATTTTTAAGAGTTCTTTTTACATTCTAGACATAGTCCTATGTCAAATATGTGCATTGCACATATCTTCTCTCTGTGGCATGCGTTTTCATAATTATAATGGCATATTTTGAAAAACAGAAGTTTGTAATTTTAGTGTAGTCTAATTTATCAGTTATTTTCTTCATCACTAGTACTTTTTGGGGGATCTACCTAATCCAAAATCATGAAAGTATTCTCCCATGTTACATTATAGCCAACATTTTCTGTAAAGGGACAGATAAATGTTTCAGGCTTCTTGGACCATGCATGTCTCCGCTGTAACGTCTAAGACTTTGCCGTGGCAGTGCATGCTGAGTCAGTTGCAGACAGAATGTAAGTGAATGGGTGTGACTACGCTCCAATAGAATTTCACTTACTAAACAGAAGCAGGTCAAATTTAGCCCACAGGCTATAGTTGTTTTCATCTAGCCAGACATGATTTTGTAAATGGGTGATAGAGGACTAAGATTTATTGTTTCCCAATTGATTCAGTCTCACTTGCTAAAAAGACCATAGTCAAATGACCACATATGTGTTGTGTTGCTTCTGGATTCTGGTTTAGGTATTTGGCTTTGCTTTTGCAAGGTGTCCTGTGGCACTGTAACCTGATACAATCTCAAATTGATGTTTTCTGAAACATGAAAGTTGTATATATTTGAATCTCAGACCTTTATGAACTTAGGAAATTCTTGATTCCTAACAGATTCAAGACTGAAACAAATACCCTTCCTTGTTTCTTCTCTTTTATAGAAAGGCTTTCCTGGGTCTTATATTTTATAAAGAATTTGTTGGTGTAGTGGGTTGGGCTTGATTCTCAAGTTATTTCAGGACATGATGTGCTGGGTACCATGGATTGGCTTGCTCAATTCTCATTTCACTCCTACTAGTTGAAGAATTAGAAAACTAATTATGTCTTTTGCATAATTAACACCATTGCATCTAGCATTTTGGCCATGATCCAATTAGTTTGGCTCTAATGGAACATTGCACCAGCTAGATCATTAGAATGAGATTTGGAAAGCAAGGGCGGTAATAATGCTGCAAGTTTTAAGATACATCTTCTTGTACTTGTATCCTTCCCTTAAGGTAAGTGCAAACCAGAGAAAGGCAAATACAGACCTTTAGCCAATAATGGACCCTGATTCTGAGTTGATAATAATCCTTAGGGACTCAGAATGCACTTTGGGTTCTTGTAGCTATCAGGTAATAAAAGCAAATTCAATGAGATATACACAACAACTGACATAATCAATTTACATTTTGGTTTTATGAGCTGTGGCATTAAAGTTATTATGGGATGAAAAGCCAAATGTAAGCCAGTGGAATTCCTCCTTTGAACAAAATAGAAAATTAAAAGTACTATTGTATCCCTGGGGAAACGGCAGAGATACATGCATCAAAAACACCTTGAATGGTGAATGATGCAGAGGTAGTAAGATGTATCACTTTCCCATTTAACTCATTTATTTGTATTATATTCTCCCCCCCCCCCCAAAATTAAATAATAAAAGGGATAATTGTAAATGTACTCAGGTGGTAACTGTGGTGTGATTTCTATTCATTATAGTGACTCTGTTCTAGAGCCAATCAACATAGGCTTTAATATGCAGTTAGCACTTCAGAGAATGATATTTTTTCCTTTCTTTGTCCAGTAGTTAGAAAGCATCAGAACAGTTTTCTTTCACTTGGCTTTCATTGTCATTCTGGCTCTCTGAGACATATAATCTACAGTCATTGATACTTTCATGGGATCTTATGTTGTTCCACTAAATTGATCACATGATACTGACTGCATTTGGTGTGCCTAAAGTACTGGGCTCTGTAGATGCTTTAGTAAGATACATGGAAACGTAATGTTGGAGTTAAATTTCCTCTGGGGTTTGTTGAGAATTTCCTCTCAAGTGAAAGACAAGTTGCTTTACTTTGCATTTCCTATTACTAAGAAACATTCATTGGGCCTGTTAGACCTCTATGAATTTTGGATAAGACACACACCACGTTTAGTTTTGCTATGCATTTGTAAAATATCCCATGAGATTTTGAGCTTTGATTTCTCCACATTCTCCATTTGTCTTGGAATAAAAAAGTCAGGTAAGTGTTGCTGAGAATGTGGATTAATCAGAACTTATACACTGCTGGTGGGAATGTAAAATGGTACAGCTGCCTTGGAAAAGAGTCCGGCAGTTCCTTAAATTATTAAACACAGAGTTACTATGTGACCCAGCAATTCCACTTCTGAGATATGTGGCACAAAGAAGTAAAAATGTATATCTACACAAAAATGTGTACATGAATGTCTATAGATAGGAACATTATTTATCATGGCCAAAAGGTGAAAACCCAAATGTTCACCAACTGAGGAATAAATAAACAATGTGGTATATCCAAAGGAATATAATTCAACCACACAAAAAATAAAGTACTAAAATATGATGCAACATAGATGAACCTTGAAAACATTACACTATGTGAAAGAGGACAGTCACCAAGGTCACATATTAAATTATTCCATTCCTATGAAATGTCAAGAACAGGAACTTTATAGAGACAGAAAGTAGATTAGTGGTTGCCCAGGGCTGACAGGGTGGAGTAGTAAAGGAATAGGAGGATGATAGCCAATGTGTATGGAGTTTCTTTTGAGGTGAGAAAATGTTCAAAATGAGTGTGAATGATGATTGTACATATCTGTGAATGTACTAAAAGAATTGAATTGTACACATTATATGGGTAATTATAAGGGGTATGAATCATATCTTAACAAAGCTGTTTAACAAAAATTTAGGTGGGGGCAGTGCAAGCCTATTTCCCCGGTGCCCCATACTTGCTTGATAGGCGCATGAACAAAAGAGTCGTGTGAAATGGATAGAGGCTATATATAGACTGAACAATATGGACTTCCTCTTGCCAAGGCTGGACTGACATTGCTGAGTGTCCAATTTCTCAGTAAGACGAAGCAAACCTAGTATATAGTTCATTTTATGTACTAAATATTTTGATTCCTTTGACAGGGAGGGGTCGAGTGACCCTGGAAGAGACAGTTTTCTGATTATAGATGTGTCTCTGCCTCACTGCTTTCATCAGCAGTCCCCTCCCCCCCCCCCATGGAAGTGATGAACGCCGAGTGCATGAGCACGGTACCCAGTGACTCACTGCTATGACAGAAGAACCGAGTTAATGTGGGATAAATGAAGCCTTTCTACATATCCTTTCTCAGCAACCCATGGCCTTAAAGGAAAGGAAAGTGGATAATTGAAAACTCAGTTTGGGAGACAACACTTTGGGAAGTTGTCTATAAATTGGCAGGTGCTCTAATCTTGTGACCAATATATGGCACTATTTCTTCCATTCACAGAATTCACTGGTTTAAGATACAAGACCTGGGAGTCGAGGAGCAATTCTCATAGCGAATGATTCATGAAATGGTTGTTTCCCGTACATTTGATCCTTAATCCTTCTGGGTTATAACAACAATGGTTTCAAGGACTTGAAAAGTTAAGGCTGCCTCCTAACTGTTTGATGCTCTTGGTGCCATTCAACCAACAAGGAGAAAATGAGGTCCTTATGTTGTTTAGGACAATTGGTTCTAATTATCAAAGGGAATAAGAATTGTTATAGCCCTTGGCCGGTTTGGCTCAGCAGTTTGAGCGTCAGCCTGCAGTCCAGAGAGGCCCGGGTTCGGTTCCCTCTAAGGGCACATACCTCAGTTGCAGTTTGTCCCCGGCCTTGGTTGGTCATGTGGGTGGCAGCCACTCGATGTGTCCCTTTCACGTTGATGTTTCTCTATCTCTCTCCCTCCTACTCTATCTGAACAAAAAATGGAAAAATGTCCTTGGGTGAGGATAAAAAAAAAAAAAAAAGAATTGCTATAGATACAACAGGGACAGGGAGAAGTATGCATGGTATCATTTGAGAAGGTGCCTCTTAGAACTCTCTATTAGGTGATAAAAATTAATGTAAGATTATGTCATGCTTATACAGGAAATACCAAAAGGACTCAAACTCTTCAAGACTGAAGAACCGAGATACTGGCTGGAAAGAAAGTGAACGTTGAGTTAATAATGAGAGAATAAGTTATAAATACTAACTACAGCTTCATGACTAGTTGCAGTTCTGAGGACTCGAATAAATACCACATTTTCTTTCTTGTTTTGTTATGCATATCTGTACATATACATTAAACACTTTCTTTTTTCTTTCCTTTCCTGTAAACAAAAAGGAAAAGACCTTTCTTATATAAGGTCTGTTGATAATGTTTTATTTTATAATTTACATCTTTGATTATAAGATTATTATTCTGGGATTATGACTAAATTAGAAAAGAATATACATCATGGAGATATGGATACGAGAGTGAACGTTTGGTCTCCCCTTTGCGGAGGTAACTAAAAGTCCTAGTTTCCTCAACAGAAAATTCTTCCAGTGACTATTTTCAGGAACCTAACCTCCATGTTTAAGAAGGATCAAAGGTGGTGCAACCCCTTTCTGTTTTCTAAAACTCCTTTTTTTTTTTTTTTTTTTACCTAGGAGGTAACAATCTGGCGAGGGATGGAGTGTCGGCTCTGCAGTCAGATGCAGAATTTGAATCCTGATGCTGGTTATTAATGAGACCTGGGCACCTACTGAAGCTCTGTGCCTTGATTTCCTGGGTTGTGAAGTAAGGGTAGTTAGTAACAACCACCTTCTAGTGCTGTTCTGACGACTGGATCAAGTGATGATGGTGTGGACCTCCACAAAGCACAGAGCCTCCCAACCAGCCACACTCTGTGAGGGCTACTCAAGGGCAGGAAAAGCAAAGGCAAAGAAACTCCATGGAACTCACTTTCCCACCAGGGAGTGAACCGCTGCGTCATGGTCCAGCCGGAGCGGGTCCCAGCCAAGGCCGTCCTCACCCTTCCGTAATAAGCCTCCTGTGCCTCAGAGGTTTCATTGGTAAGGTCACAAAAGAATTCTTGAATACCCCAACAGTCCTCTTTATTTTTCCATTGTCTCTGTCCATACCTATAGCAGGGAAAAGACAAATATTTGGGTTTCTTCTTTCCACTAAAGGAGTCTGCGGTTTTTTTCAGTCTTCTAATTTTCTACTGGTTGAAAATTGCCCTAATATCAGTACCACTGTGAAAGCTTATGGCCACTCATAAGTATCCTTAAAAAGATTTCTTCTTGTTAACCAAAGTGTTCTCTTGCTGAAAGATAAACTCAAGCATGATTCCTTCTATATCACTAGCCTAGGGTCGTTTTTGTTTTTTTTTAAATGCTTATTGAAGTTTTTGTTCTGGTGTATGGACCAGGTTCCATTTTTGAGAACTAGCTCTCCACATCCTTAATGCTTCTGAGGTTTCAACTCTTGTGGTTTTCTTCACTTCTCATCAGCTTGCTGTTGAGTAATGCGGCTAATTCTGAGAAGTTGCTACTGCCTTTGATCTCAGGTGATGTTACTCAACGCATACGGCCAATTTTTTTATTGGAAATTGAGTGGGAGATTGTAGTGAAGGCTGTACAAGGAGTCCTGTAATACCGAGGGGAAGTGAGGGAGGGTTACCCATTAAAAGACAAACAAATCAACAATAAATGGTAGTGAAGCAGAAGCAGATAGACCGAGTCATCCTGAGACTAGGGGATGGTGTAACAGCCAAAGGAAAGATTAATGCTCACGACCTTACCAATCATAAATCAGAGAAAATGCAGTAAGATGATGAGAACAGAGCAGGAATTAGAGGCCAAGAGAAAGGTTTCAACATAGAATGAGGAATATTACTGATGTCATTACTTAGTATATTATATGACAGCAATTTCATTATATCAGAAGATACTATTAAAACAGAACCAAAAACATAGATTGAGCACAATTTAATGTTTTAAAATTGTTTATTGATGAAACATTGTCTTTGCCAGCTGAATTTAGCTGTAACAACTGGCCTCTCTTTTGATGTGATGCCTTATTTTACTGTCCTATCCCAAATAGGACAGATATTAACCATAGACCCATGTGAACTGGATAGAACCAAAGTGATAGATTTCAAAAATACAAATCTGCATTGTGCTCTTAAAAATAGCACATAGCTAAGAATGGATCCAGTTAGTCTGAATTTTATGTAAGTTTGGGAGACCCGATTAAGAAAATGAATTGCAAATATAAAATTCTTCCATGTTGCTCTAAAGTTTAACTTTCATTAGTATCATGGTAAAACAACTTCTAATCTACTTTTTTTTTGTTGGGCCACAAATAAGCCCACTTTGGACCTATTTATACTGCTTAAGGGGAAAGAGGACAAGGGCACCAGTCCCGACAGCCTGTGCTGGAGCATCTCCCAACTATGCAGGAATCTATTTTTTGGAATGGAGGAATCTTCATGGTAAAGATTTGTAAATTTTACCCAAATGTGAGAAAAGCAGCAGCAATTAAAGTCTGATGAACTTCTAGAAATAGTCCTTCCAAAGTTAGTGAGAGGTTAACTGATAGAAAAATCAGACCTTGGACCAACTCCATGCTGGAGAGACAGGACGAATTAATGGAATAAAATCGTTATTTTAGTCCATAGCTGCATTTTATTTTTTAAATTTATAATGAAACACTTTGAAAATTAAACTAATTTCTCATCTCATGTTCAGCCAGCATGCAAACTATGTAAGAGAAGGAAGAGCCCCACCCCCAAAAAAATCCTGGAAGTGTGTGAGTGGAAAAATCTGCCATTTGCAAACCAGGAACTTGTGTTTCCAGGCTTCGGTCCAGGAGAGGAATCGATTGTATCTGAGGTTTGGCAATGATCCCCCAGAACCAGCTTGAAGATCACACGAGAGGAGCACGTAGCAGCACGTTTGGGTTTGTGTTTGTGCTTACAGAAGTCATTAATTTTTTTTAAAGGATTTTCTAAGTAGTAAACACACTCTAAAAATAATGACTTTTAAGTTAAAAATACATTTTACCCACTGACCTCCATGTGTCCCACAACTTCTTTATCAAGTATCAATATTGTCAACTTAGTTAAGTGCCTACAATGTGCTTAGCAAGTTGTTTCCAACACTCACTTGACAAATAGGGATTTGAGAGCCCACCATGTGCCAGACCCTGTTGTGACGCTAAAGGCTGAGCTTGCAAGGTCTTGGTGCTGGGTTTTCAAGGAATGACACGTGTTCCCAAAAGACTGCACATCAGCATGCATTTTGTGCCACCAGGTAGCCTTCAGGGGAGACAAGATAGTCCTATCCTACTTCTGCTTTTTCTCAGTCTCTCTGAAACTGAAAAAAAGCTCAGATCCTAACACGCCATTGCATTCTAGAATCCATTCTCCCAGTGGCCATGTCTATCAGCCAGAGGAAGCTGAAATTACTTACATTTTATATTGCACAAAGTAGACACTGCTGTTGCAGGCACAAGCCCTCCCAGGCTGCCAGTGCAAAATGTTGTGAAAATTCCGGGACTGAAAATGTACTCTCTGAGGCTTCAGAGACTCATGGGCTGGATGAGTTTCTAAAATATTAAGAGAAGGAAAAACACTGAACATTGCGAGCGCTGTTGTTATTAGCAGTAGTTTTCCATGTAATGCCTGAGTCAGGATTTCCTAAAGCAGTCGCTATCAGTGCAGATGATGCAAGTGGAGCTCAGAAAGCAACATTTTGAATCTTCAGTGTGATCATTTGCATGCATGCTGGTGTTTCAGAACAACCGTGTTTCAGACTGTAAACGCCTAAGTGATATCCTCCCACCCATTCCTGAACTGTAGAGGAAGTAAATAGCGGTGAAAAAATACTGTCTTTAGCCCCTTCCCTGATGCTCATGGAAGGTAATGGCTGAGGGGAAAGACCCACACCAAGGCCACTTGCCCACCTTCCTAGGAGCCACTATATTATTGCTACTCAGAGGCAAAATTTTGCCTGGGATCAATTTAGGCTCCAGGACCTCAGCCCAGCACTCGGTCCCTCCTTTCTCAGGTTCTCGCTCCATCTCTGGGTCCTGCCTCAGTGTCCTCCACCTCTCCCAGCTGACCTAGCTGTCCCGCAGGTGGGCCAGCCTTTCCGTCCCAATCCTGAATGTATGCGCTTACCTGCTTGCATCCTGGCTTCAAGTACTCAGGCATAACGGTTTGGAATCACTGGTCCATGCTATTGAGAGAGACTGCCAAAGACCCTGCCATGGCGTTAAGTGTCCCTGAGAAGGGTCTCAACAATGAGGCAGAAAAGGGGATAATTTTGCACTGGCATGGCTGTGTTTTCTTTCTCAGATCATGTAACATGGGTGACCCAGGCTCACCTGTACTTAGTCCCATGGAGGCAAGAGACCTTTGATGAAATTTTATTCTAGAGTCTGAAGAAAACTGGAATACACCCTAAAATATGCCTCTTTGACATAAAAATTATTTTGAGCTGACGGCAAGTAAGCAATAAATACAAGAAAAGCTTTTTTCCGCTGAAAGGCAGGATAGAAATTCTCCTTTTACTGGAGAAGGACTCTTATCAGCCCAGAGATGGCACCAGAGAAATCTCCATTAGTTTCCTCTCATATATTTACTTTTCCACCCTTGGAAGCCTAAAATGGCTTTAATTTGTTGTGTCATGTCTCTACAAATGATTTTTTTTTTTTTAACTGAAAATGCTCTATATAAGCTAGAATTCTAACCCACCGTTTTGAGTTACTCTTTGTTTAGGCTTCTCCTTTGTGCTGTACTCTGCATGTGGTTTTTCTCTTGTTAATGTTTCTTTATGTTAAAGGGTGCTAGCTGTACACGAATGATGGGCAGAGGTAACGCGTTACCTCCTCTGCAGGTCCAAAGTTTCCGGAGAGGGGTAGGACGTTGGGCAGAAGGAGGAGTCAGCAAGCATATCCTGGCTGTTCTCTGACCTTATTTTCTTGCTCCTGCTCCACCATGGTGGGTGTGGTCCCCACTGAGGGTCTCTGCACTGGTCCTTCCCTTTTCCTGGAATATTCTTCCCTGGATTTCCAGGTACCCCAAGTCTTTGCTCAGCTATCATTGAAGTGGAAGCAAATACTCCTAAGCCCATGATCTCAGCTCTGAACATTCAAGATTTGTTAATTTCTAATGTTTCTGTAGGTGTTTATTTTTACCAACTAGTGTTAATACTGTTATTTGGGTTTTTTTATTTTACTTTACTTTTTGGACCTCCTTCAGTGCATCAGATGGAAAGAATCTATTGCCACTGTTAATTTTGTTTACCTAATCGCTCACATTTAGTACATAACACTCCCAGAAGTTGTCAGGAGATGACAGACACAGATCCCTGAAGCCCTTGCCCAGAGTTGATTTGCTACCCTGAAGACAGATGGCAGAGTGCCCCTCATCTCATCTGCACCAGACACTAGGGGCCTTTTACCTGCTTTAAGTCATTTAATCTGCCCGGCTCTTCTATGAAAAAGGGACTATCATCCTTTTCCTCTTACCAACTAAAAAACGAATCCCTGCAGAGCTGAAGGAACTCCAGAGCCTGTCTGTTACCACGGAAAACCAAGAACAAAGCTTCAGAAGAGAGGAGCTCTTGGAGGAAGCAAAACCAGGCAAGTCTGGAGATCTTCCTCCTCCTTCTTTCCCTCCTCCTCCCAGCTGACATTCATTGAACATTGAATGTATATAAACATTAAACATGTATCAGGCACAGTGCTCAAAGTTTTATATCTTACTTCATTCCTACAACCACCAAATAAGGCAGGTGTTTTTATTACTGTATTTACAATAGGGAAACGGAGACTTAAAGAAGTTGCATATCTTGCCGAAGGTTACCGACATGGTAAGATGCAGAGTCAGGCATAGTCTACACAATTCTACACATTTTGGGGAGATGGAGGCTTGAACTATTTTTATGTTATCAGTCATTGGGCAACTGAACAGTTTGGGGAAAGTTACTTGAGCCACTTACACTGAGTGGTATCTGTCTCTTAACTGGGGGTTCTAATGGCCCTGCTCAGAGGTTTGTGGGGGTGAAGATGGGCTCTGTTCTTGAAGAGTTCTCCATAAATACCAAGAGCAAATTCTCATGTGTTTTTTACTGTCTCTATTCTGTGCCAGCCATTGCTCTAAATACTTGGCATATATTAATTCATTTAATCCTCACAATATGTACAATTCCCATTCTACAGATGAGGACATTGAGGCACAGAGACCTTAAGTCAATTGTCCAAGTTTTCCTACAGAGTAAATGTCAGAACTGAAATCCAGGCTCAAGCGGTCTGACTTAGGAGACTGCTTGTGCCCACTCTGCTGTCATGTCCCCTGAAGGCAAAGGAAACGCAAAGGAGACAGAGATGGATGTACGCTGGTCCTTATGAAGTTTTTGCACCCACTACAGTGCCTCCTTTTTAGTGGCCACTCAATCAGTCCACGTGGGGTTAGTCAGGTTGCAGACAGGAACAGGCTCCATGTCTGTTCTGATCATTTATGACAGAAGAAAGCTGACGTTTCTACAAAGCCCCGAAAAGCATCAGTGCCGTTTCAAGCAGTCCCTGGAGCGCACTCAGATGACAAAACTGTGACCAATGAAAACGAAACGAAGCACTTACCTACTGCCCCGGTCAGGAAGAAAGTGATGAGGAAGCCCGGAAAGCAGTGTTTAGGCGTCATGGTTGTGAGTGTGACTGGTCAGGCAGCCAGTGTTCCCCTGAGTGAGAGCACAGCTCTGAACAGAAGAGGGAACTAGACTTCTCATGCGGAGCATCCTCCTGAGTTTAACAGTGGTTCCTTGAAGAAAACACAGATTTCATTTGTGAATGCATTTTATTATCATTAGAGAAATTAAGAGAGTAAAGAATTGCTTCTAAACACATTTGCTGTAAGTCACTTTGATATGGAAGCTCGATTTTGTAGGGATTGGGGCTTCATTAGCTGTAAAAAAAAATACTGAGGGTTGGCAGACTGGAGGGCAGGGTGGGGCAGAAACTATGCAAGGTGCTCACAGGTGAGTGAATAGAGCGATCATAACATCTTAAGAGAATTTGAGCCGGGAGGCAAAGAGGCTTATAGGGCGATTACGAGGGATGTGCTTGGCAGTTCAGCTACCAGGGCTCCTGGCAGTGGTTCAAAGCAGGTGAGGTCTCTGACTGATTCTTCCTTTTCCTTCCTCATTGGAAGTCTCTAACCTCCCTGCATACCTCATGCCCTCCACACCCTCTGGCTCTCCACAGGGCTCCCTGTCATACTCATTGGTCTTCCCAGCCCCACTTAAGTAGTGCCCCTTCCTTTCCATTCCTACCCTAAATTCCCACAAATCTGATATAGATTTTTGAGTGATTTTTTTAGTAAGTCAAACCAAATGAGTCTTTAAAAGTATTAATGTGGAGGATTCATTTTGAGCTACATTAGATCTTTTATCATATCTTCTTGGAAATCTGATCAAACTAGGTTATCTGTTCTTTGCCTTATGATTCATTATATCATCTTTCTTACAAAAAACAAATGTTATCACGTGTTTTTTTTAAATCCTCACCCGAGGACATTTTTTCCATATTTTGTTCAGATAGAGTAGGAGGGAGGGAGGAAAGGAGGGAGGGAGAGAGAGAGAGCGAGAGAGAGAGAGAGAGAGAGAAACATCGACATGAAAGGGACACATCGAGTGGCCGCCACCCACACGACCCAACCAGGCCGGGGACAAACTGCAGCCAAGGTACATGCCCTTAGCGGGAACCGAACCTGGGTCTCTGTGGACCGCAGGCCGACGCTGTAACCACTGAGCCAAACTGGCCAGGGCATCACATGTTTTTGGAAGCACTAAATCCATACCTTAAAGCACAAGAAAGTTAAAGTTTTTTTTTTTTTAAGAGGCTCAAAAGAGGAAATATATCCTGGCTTCTTTTTCCTCTTATGTAGCCTCTTTCAAGTTCTTGGTAGAACAGTCTCTTTAGTAAGGAATAGTGGTGGCTGCTGAGCAGTACTCATTCACTCATTCGTTCGATCATTCACTCAATAATTTAACACACATTTGCTACACTATCATGTGCTAGGCATTGTTCTCAGCAGCAAATAAAATAGACATTGCTCTCACCTTCCCAAAGCCGACTTCTAAAAGGCAAAGCAGTATGTGAAGGTTACACCAGGTTTTCCAGTGCCTCTAAGCTATCGGACTTCTGAATAGACTCTTTACCTCCTTCTCCTGCAAGTGAAATTTCCATTGCTTACAAGCTAACTTAGGTTTCCAAAGGAGAAACCTGCAGCATATCCTAGGCTCAGCCCCTTGGCACCTTCTTGGTGCTCCGTCTTCTGGCCTTCTCAGCATCATCCCTCACTCACTTGCTGATATTACACTCTGAACTCTAGACTGTGTAATAAAGAACGATGATAATCTCAATTTGCATTATTGATGTTCAATATCATCAACACCAATAGCTCTTGTTTTGAAGCAACCAAATTGTTCCAAATTCCAGTTAAGAATAAAAAAAAAATTTTAATTCAAGAATGAAATTGGGGTTTTCACTGGGTTAATGACTGTGTTAAACAAAGAAAGGGAAATTAGGGGGGGAAGGGAGAAGAGCATAAAATATATTAAAAACAAAATTCTCTCAAACATGTGAGCTTTCGTGCTATGTTAAATGTAGGAAACCAAACCATTCAGTGAGCTCTCTAATTGTGTGATATCATACCTGCATTCAAATCGAACACTGACAACATGCCTCAAAGCAGATAAAGATACCATTAAATGATAAAATCCCATCAATTTGGAAGCAGAAGAATTTGTACAGAATTGTTTCAAGTGAAATGACATTTGCTTTGGGAAGTAAAAAAATTAAAGATAATGGGGGACCCCTTCTCTGCTTTGCTTGAGCTATGAAATGCTGACTTCAAACTCATTCCTTACCTTCCCCCTACCTCCCTAACTCATCCCTAACCCTCAGCTGGGGGAGTCCACCTTGACAGTGAGAGTGGACGCCTCCATTGCGTTGGGTCCGGAGAGAACTTGCCTAAGCCTCTGCCTTGGACAGATTTTATTCTCTTCTTTTGGCTTCCAAACAGGCCAATAATTCATGGAATTAATGACTCATTATTAATTATTTTTAAATAGGGTTTGGGATTTGGGTTATAATAATAACTATTATTACTTAGAGTGCATATTGAAGCATTACAGATGACGTGCCATGATGTCTGGGATTTGCTTCCAAATAACCCAAGGGGTGGGGAAGGGGGCCATGAGCTGATAATTGTTGAATCTGGGTATTGAGCACATGGAGATTCATTATGCTCTCTACTTTTGTATATATATTTGTAATTTTTCATAACAAAAGAAAAATCTTAAAAGTTTATAAAGATGCCATCTTTATAAAACTCCCTTTGGTAATTTTAATGCCATTTTAGTGTCAATAGTAAGATCTAATAATTATGGGGCACTGGGTTAATTTCTTTCAATGCATTATCTTAGTTAATCCTCACAACAAGCCCAGGAGGTTAGTATTATTATCCTGATATTACAGATAAAGGAACTGAGACATATGTCCAGCTGTTGTGGCTCAGTGGTTGAACATTGACACATGAATCAAGAGGCTGCCGGTTCGATTCCCGGTCAGGACACATGCCCAGGCTGTGGGCCTGATCCCCAGTGGGGAGCATGCAGGAGGCGGCCAATTGATGTTCTCTCTCATCGATGTTTCTGTCTCTCTCCCCCTCTCACTTCCTCTCTTTCCAAAATCAATAAAGAAAAAAAGAAAAAGAAAAAAATGGAGACAGGCTAAAAGAACCTGGCCAGGCTCTATAGCGCATGTAGTGATAAAATCGAGTGTGAAATCAGGTCTGGCTGACCTCAGGGCCTGCAGTCTATTATAAAATCACTATGCATCATTTTTCATGTGTAATTTTCATTCCATAAAGGGATAGAATGATGTCAACCAAGATTTGGCCATTTATTCCTTGAGTTGATGTTTACTGAGCATGTGCTACCTGCCTGGCACCGTGCCAGGAGTGCAGCAATGAGCAAGATGGCACAGTCCTCACGGGGCCAGCATTTTCTTCAGCCAGGTCTTGGTGAAAGGCCACATATTTCTTATTCACCTTCAGAAAAGTGTTTAAAAACTGGTCTTCTGGACTATTTCACTGAGGGTTTCTTCAAGGGGTCAGATGGACGAGGTCTCAGCTCCAGGCCTTTTCCCTATTCTGTGATTGGTAAGCAGCAGGATAGGTTTTTAAAGTCCTGTAATGAATTGTAAATTGAACACCACCCTCTCTCCCTCAGAATGATAGAGACCCATATGCTTATAGGACCAGCAACTGGGAAGCTATTTGCTCTTTCTTATCTGTTGGACCTCAGTAACTCTTCAGAGTAACACCTGTGTATGACCTTCAAGCAGTTCTGCATTCCGGAAATAATTGCCATGAGTTTCCAAATAGTTTATGGACCTGAATTCAAAAAAAGGAACTTCATTGTCAAAGACAGGCAATAAGCAATCTGATCAAGTTTAATTATGATTGATTTTGGACTATGAACACCAATATATTATTTAAAGTCTCCATTCGTGCTGGGCCAGTGTGGCTCAGAGGATTGAGCATTGACCCATGGACTAAGAGGTCCTGGTTCGATTCCCAGTCGGGGCACATGTCCCAGTTGCCAGCTAGATCCCCAGTAGGGGGCATGCAGGAGGCAGCCGATTGATGTTTCCATCTCTCTCTCTCCTAAAAAATCAATAAAAACATATTTTAAAAAAATAAAATAAAATTTCCATTCTTAAGGCTCATTAAGATAACTTTTCTGCTCTTCACTCACATTGTTTTGGATAAAAGAAGCTCTTAATATTGTGTTGATTGTTCTGGACCAGGATCTTGCAAAACCTACTGAATGGTTAATCACTGTGCCCACGCACGAGCACATGCCTGTACATTGTTTTGACTCGAGAAAGATTTTCATGGCATAACCAAATCCAACCAGTTGCCAAACCCTCCACTGCAACCACTGTGTCCCCGCCACCATGGTCTCTTGCCTGATTTGTGGTTACAGCCTCCTTTCCATTCTCCCTGCCTTGTTCACTGCTTCACTTAGGATGGTGCTGGGCACATAATAAGCACTTAGTGCATATCTGGTGAATTGGTGAACAGGAATATATTAGCAGTGGGTACAAATTTATAATATTTAAGCTGAAAGAGCAGGAAGATAATTCTCTACTTTTTAAAATGGTCTGGGATGGTTGTCCTGAGGTTCTCTGATCCGTGAGGTCACTAGGGTTCAGTCAGACACACACAGGCAACACCGGCCTTTGCAACATTGTGTGGCACCTCTGCCGGCTCTTCAGCTGGACCAATTAATCTGTGTGACCTGGGAATTAGCTGCTTCCCTGAGAAATCATCTGGGTGCTTTTCTAGGTGGGGTCCCGGGGTACATGCGGGTGGCATTTCTTTGGCATTTTTCTAATTCTAATTCTCCTATGATCATTAGTCTGTTTAGATTTTCTCTCTCTTCTAGGCTCCATTTCTACAAATTACATTGTCTTTAGAAGAGTGTGCATTTCACTCATATTTTTAAATTTATTTGCACAGAGTTGAGCGAATTATTCCCTTACAAGGTATTCAATTTCCCCTGCTTCTGTGGTTTCCCTTTTATAATTTCCATTTTGAGTAAAGGCTCTCTTGTTTTCTGATTTTTTTAGTTAAATTGGATGGTTATTTATCTTAATTTTTTTTCAAGGAATCAGATTTTGTAATTAGTTATATATTCTACATTTAAAAAAATGTATGTCTCATTTATATCTTCTTTTGCCTTTTGAAATTCCTCCATTCTGTCTTTTATTTTATTTGTTGTTTATTTTATAAGAACTCCCTGAGTCAGATGTTTATTTTACTTGTTTTATTCTTTATCTTATATTAATACAAGTATTTACACTAGGAATTTACTCTGAAATGTATCCCATAGGCTCCCCTTTGGCTCTGAAGTCAGATATTTCCTTATTTTTTTCTTTAACGGTTTACAATTTAGATTACTTTTTCTGATCCAAGTGTTTTAAAAGAGAGAATTAAAAACAACATATCCAAGTGGAACAGATTTTTAGTTTTAATTCTTATTGTTACTTTTTTCATGATTTCCAGAGAAGGGAAAGATGCTGAGTTATACAACCATGCGCCACGTGGAAATCTCTCTCGTGGCGTTGCTTTCTGGGAGTTGAAAGGCAGGGAGATGGATTAGTATTAATTTATTATTCACAAACATAGATAAACATGGCCATACAATTGCTTAGGTGTGTCCAACAAGAGCTTCTAAGCAAAATCTTCAAATCCTCATGAGACTCAGAGTAAGGGAATACCTTTTGCATTTTAGAGTAATGAATTTTTGTCTTTTACTGTAGCATTATGTATAACAGCCATAAATTAACTTATTAAAGTATATTTCCAGCTTCACCTAAAACTATTTCTGGAGGTAGTTGCCAGGTTGTCAAAGTTAAAGCACCATATATTCAAAGAGCAGTGGAAGGTTTAATATCTTTATTTTTTAATCCTTACCCAAGGATATTTTTTCATTGATTTTCAGATAGAGTTGGAGGGAGGGAGGGAGGTGAGAGAGAGAGAGAGAGAGGAAGGGAGAGAGAGAGAAACATAGATTGGTTGCCTCCCACATGACCCTGACCAGGCCGATGATTGAACTGCAACTGAGGTACGTGCCCTTGACACGGGAACCAATCCTGCGGCTCTTTGGTCTGCAGGCTAATTCTCTACCGCTGAGCCAAACCAGCCAGGGCTAATATCCCATTTTTTATACAGGAAGTTTAAGACATCAGACCAAAGTAGGAAAAACCTGGACTTTGGAGATAGGTGAAACCTGAGTTCAAATCCCTCAAAATACACTTCTCTGAGCTTAATCCACTTAAATGGGGTTCTCATCCTGTTATTCTTTTTTTTTTTAAATTTTATTTTTGTTACAGATGTTTCTCCTCCAGCAAGATGCCATTTCTAGCCTCCCCCAACCCCCAAATGCTCAGACAAACCCAGAGCGCTAAGTTCATTTGATTTCTGATGTGAGAGGGACACTTCGATTGGTTGCCTCCTGCAGGACTCTGACCAGGGCTGGGGACCGAACCACAACTGAGGTGCCTGCCCTTGATGAAATCAAACTGGAGATTCTTTGGTCCTCAGGCTGACGCTCTAACTGCTGAACCAAACTGGCCAGGGCATGGTTACAAATTTTTTTTTTTATTCAGATAGAGGCGGAGGGAGAGAGAGAAACATCAATGTGAAAGGGACACATCGAGTGGCTGCTACCCGCACGACCCAAGCAGAGCCGAGGACAAACTGCAACCCAGGTACATGCCCTTAGCGGGAACCGAACCTGGGTCTCTTGGGACCACAGGCCGACGCTCTAACCGCTGAACCAAACCGGCCAGGGCATGGTTACAAATTTTTATGAAGTGCTTCTATTGGCCATATATTGTGCTAATGACACTATGAGATTATCTCATTCTCATATTATGAGTGAAGTACTGTTATTATCCCTGCTTCATAGTAAAAAACTGAGGAAGAGAGAAGTAATTGGCTCTAGGTCACTTGGTGAGGAGTAAAGTTGGGGTTCTAACTCGAGGGTCTGACTTCAGAGCCCCTGCTCTTAATTAACCACTGCCCTACAGATATCCGGGACAGGGACCACCTTGTGTGCTGGCTCTTAGTAGGTGCTGAATACGTGTTGACAGAAAGGAGAGATTTTTGAGACCACATAATCATGGTTTCCTCCTCTTAAATGGGAACAGCAATTCCTCTTCACGGGATGTTGTAAAGATGAAATGAGATGGGGTATTTCTGAAAACAGCTCAATAATTATACATTTGTTCTTTTATTCACTCATTTATTCATTCCTGATTCATAGCTCTCATAGAAAGTGGCCAAGAGTACAAGGTCCCGAAGGTAGAGGCACAGAAAAGCGGAAATTGTAGAGCAAGTGTGGCACCTTATAGATGAAGCTAACTAGTCACCCTACAAAGTGGAGTTTATTATCTAACTCACTCATTAAAAGCCAGTATGTTTTTTTTGGTTAATCCTCACCTGAGGATATTTTTCCATTGATTTTTTTTTCCTTCCCTGAGGACATTTTTCCATTTTTTGTTCAGATAGAAGGGAGGGAGAGAGAGGAAGAGAGAGAGAAACATCAACATGAAAGGGACACATTGAGTGGCTGTCACCCGCGCGACCAACCAGGGGCTGGGGACAAACTGCAACCGAGGTACGTGCCCTTAGCCGGAACTGAACCTGGGTCTCTCTGGACCGCAGGCCGACTCTCTAACCACCGAGCCAAACCAGCCAGGACTTCCATTGATTTTTTTAGAGAGCAGGAGTGGGGTAGAGAAACATCCATGTGAAAGAGATACATCAATTGGTTGCCTCCCATACGACCCTAACCTGAGCCAGGGATCGAATGTGCAACCCAGGTACTTGCCCTTGACCAAAAAATCAAACCCGTGACCCTTCAGTCTGTGAGCCGATGCTCTAACCGCTGAGCTAAACTGGCCAGGGCAAAAGCTAGTATCTTAAATGTGATACAGACAGTATTCTTAGACAATTTAACTTGGTATGAAATGACGATGCAATGACTCCAGTTTTTGATAACCAGTAATAATTTAGAGAAAATATTTCATTTAAGGCAGAGCTGTCAGAGAGAGGATCCCCTTATTAGTTAACATAGGTGAAAACTTCCTCAGAGCCAAAAGGTAGAGCAAGTTTAACCCAGTTCCCATGAGGCTAAGTGATTTACCCACAGTCACTATCTTTTTACCAATTTAGTAGGTATACTGACTGAAAGAAATGGAGAGCCTCAAAAGTTAAAATATATCCCAGTATAAAGTTATAATTCAAGAAAAAACAATGAAACAGTCCCAGGAGTACTGAGAATTTGGCATATGATATGACATTTGAAATTAGCACAGAAAAGTAGGATGATTTAATACCATTGGGACAACTAATTTATCAAGTGAAATGTATTATGAATTGAATTGTTCCCCAAGAAGATAAATTGAAGTCCTAATCCCTGGTACCTATGAATGTGATCTTATTTGGAAATAGTGTCTTTGCAGATCTAATCAAACTAAGGTGAAGTCATACTGGATTAGTGTGGCCCTAATCCAATGACTAGTATTTTTACAGAGAGAAAGATTTGGACACAGAGACACACAGGAAAGAATGCCATGTGACAAGAGAGACGAGAATGATGCAGCTTCGAGTTAAAGACGACAAAAATAGCACCTCATTTTAACTTATACTTTTAAGTAAGGAGCAACTGTTTTCCATAATTTGTTAATTTACTCATGTGAGTTATATTTTTTTGTACTCAATTAATTTGAATCTTAAAATTCCTATCCTCTTAGCATTCCCAAGAACTCCTTGTGTAATATAGACATTAACTAATTCTTGGTTTGCCTCTCTGGGAATTTTCTCTTCATACCAGACACTGGGCTCCCTCACCCACTCCCATGGCTTCAACCAACATCTTTGTGTTAGAGGTTCCTCAATCCATATGCTCTAAAAATAAATCTGCATGCCCCTGCCCTCACAGTGGGTGATACATACTAAAATACAGGCATAAGACCATTTTTAAAGGATTAGATTATTTTTAGAACTATTTTAAAGATTAGATATGAATAATTATAAAATGATCCTATAGCATCAAATGCACGGAAACAAGCAAATGGATAAAAACTATTCTAGTTAACCGACTACCTAAGTGTTTAAATAAATGAATAACAAATAAATTTTAAAATTTATTTACAAAGCTCTTATTGTAATGGTCCATAAAAATTATATACATATTTCTATTAACAAAATTGTATTCCTTTGAATTCAACTTTAAATACAATTTTGAAAATGAAAAGCTTCCAGGATTTCTTCTGAAAGTAAGCATTTAAAAATATCTTTTACATAAACTTTTAAAAACAAAACCAAAAACAAACCACCGTAGAGGCACAGAGAAGAAAAAGTCCACTCTATTTCTTGAAGTGTCAGAAAGGAGCCTGGCATAGGAGGCAGGGTTCTTAGAGAGCATTCACTGATTCTCATTACAGATCTACACAGAAAGGTTCACAAGCAACAACGGTTTGCTCTTCAGTCTTTGCAGTTTTAGGACCCAATCAGGCTCTTTATACTTTTATCTAAATCAAAGTCTGCCATTTGGTTAATATAAAAAAAGATAAAATTTCTGAAATCATGATCTTTTCATTAAGTCAAAGCAGGAAAAATGTTCCTTCCAAGTTGGCGCACTTGGTTGAGCTCATGAAAACTCTGTGGAACCTGCTGTGACTCTATAACCAATCAAGGACTCTTTAGCACCTTCATCCACAAGCAGATCCACCAGCACATGGGGCTTATCGTAACCAAAGGAGGTAGTAGTGTTTCTCAGCAGAGTTATGGGCTCTGGTTCTTCTGCCTTTATTTCACTTTTGTTATTTGGAGGAAATTCTGAGTCCGATAAGCTCTCCAGTTCCACAAGGCCACTATCAGAACCATTTCTGGAGTGGTAAGTGTTTAAAGTGATGCTGCAGGGTTCAGACTGGTTACTACCAGAATGGACAGAATCCCCTCTTCTTACTGGAGTCAGAGGGCTACCAGGGGCCGTGTCTGGAGTATTTTCTGGGGTGGTTCCTACTTCTGTTGCACTAGGAAGATCTCTGTGTTCCATTTCTCCGGAGCTGTCCTCAGTCTGCACGCTTGAAATTGTTGCTGGAGAAAACTGCTCTTCCAAGATCACGGTCTGGTTGTCAGGGACAATAGATTCATAGGTGATGGGTGATACATATTTTGATTCAGATTTTGCCTCTATAGAGGCATTTTTTACTACAGACACCTAAGGAAAGATAAATCAATGATTAAAAATATTAAATTATTAAACTTAAGTACCCATCCTCAAAAAAATGGTCTCAAGGTAATGGACAACTAAATTTACCACTAAATGACATATTTAGAACAGGATAATAAAATCTGGTGGTTGCCTTTTCTTCATATACTAGGTTAAGATTAGAAACAATTTTTAAAAAGTTACTATCTCACCAATATATGTTGTTTTAACAGATGAACATTAAATTTGTAATGGGAGTCCAGCTACTTTATGTAATATTTTTACCATTTCCCTTCAGAATTATAATTTTTATTAGCTCATATAAGTTCTTTACACTGACAATTAGATAATTTCTCTAATAGTAGATGTTAAAGTATTAATAATTGTTATTATTTACAGAATATGGTGAAATAATTATTCTTTCATGTCTTTTTATTTTACAATAAGTTCTTAAGTGTGGAACAACTAAGTCTGGGGATGGGGCATGTTTATGGAACCAAGACACTGAATGTGTATGCTTATCCTCCCGCCAGGCCTATCCGACCGGTTTTACTACTGCTACTCCTGGACATTCAGCTTACTCTTCCTTCTCTGGTCAGTGTAAAATAGCATAATGTGAGATTGCTTTGTGCTTAATTACCAGTAAGGATGAATACTGCAATATGCAAACTGTCTGCTGCTTGTTGATAGTTCTTATCCACTTTACTTGAATGTAATGCTTTCATACAGAGTAAAGTGTTCCCTTTGCATATCACCGATATTATTCCTGTCATATTTGATTCAGAAAGCTATCATTGTTACTCTTTAAATGTTCTTTTCATCAAAGTATTTTAAATGTTAGACATTAAAATGTCAAACTTCTAGTTTAGTCTCACTTTTGGTCATCTTTCCTTCTACACTCCAACCACAGTGAAAGGTATCTGTATTTGCAGATTTTCAAAAGCCATGTTGTCTTGATTCGGGGGGGGGGACCTTAGCACCCACTGTCCCTTTGTACCAGGACAATCTCCGATCTGTCCCTCAGGACTGCTCGGGCATCAACTGCCTCTGGACAAAGTCCTCACTGGCATGTATAGAAACCTTTGCTTTGGAACCTATGAACTGTACAGCCAGCAAATACTTATCTTTCCTCCCACTAGACTTTAAGCTCCCTACCAGACTTGTCTGACTGTACCTGTGCCACATGCATAAAAACATACTTGGTGTGTGGTGAAAAATATGTGGTTTTGGATATGCAGTAGATTTGAGTGATTTATAAAAGGTGACAGGATGCTGAACATCATTCTACTTTTAAAAAAATTTACAAAACTATCAAAAAGGTTCCAATCAACATTTTAGTGTATATAATTAAAGAAGTATATTTAAATACATTACCAAGGACTTGGGTAACATGATGCTTTCTCTCTTAAATGGATTTATCTTCTTAATGTTAATAAATATAACTACCAGGATAATTACTAGGAAGAGTAGGAAAGCAACAACAACTGGAATCCAAACAGTATCTGTAAAAAGAGAAAAATCACAAATTAGAATTAAGATGGAACAGTGCTATAATCAAATAGTTAACTTTGAACTATTCTTCATGTAGATTACCTCCAGTAATACGGTCAGTGTTAAGGAACACTGACATCGACTCCAGGAGAGACGAGTGAAAATTTATGTCCCTGGCCTACATAACAACATATTCTTCCCAGCTCCACAATTCTAAACTTTCTGCCACTATGGTGATGACACAATGTGGCTAAAATAGCTTTTTCCTAACAATTTCCGTACAGCCCCACACATAGGAGGATTTTCAGTTACGCTTTTCTCTAAATTAAAGAGGCAAAAGAATAATTTTTAAAATATATTTCAGTGTCTGTAACTCTTAAAATAATCCAGCCCCAATCCAGAGAATTTGTTACATTTTATATTTATTTCAAGACTGCAAATACTTATAAAGATACACAGATGCGTGCGCGAGCACACACACACACACACACACACACACACACACACACACAAAGCTACACAGCAGTAACGTCCCCTTGACTTCTGTGTCAGAAGATTTGTCTCAGAGCACATACATCTTTCATCATTGGTGTGTATTTTTCTCTAATGCTGCTTTTTTATTTGCACAGCACAATCTTTAGTACTTTTTTTCACAGTCCTCTGTTCCTAAGTAACAGTACTCTACATATTGTGGTGGTGTTTGGCCTCTTTCAGGGCATTTCATTACCTTTCATTTCTATCCCAAAGCTGCTTCTTTGGAACAGTAATTCTGGAAGTTACTACTAAATGAATGCTTGTATCACACCTGTTACAGGATGTGAAGGCAATTAAACTATAACAATAGTAAAAGATAAAATTGACTACATAAGACAACCAGCACTGGGCTTAGAAGCACAGAACAGGCAGGCAGGAATGCTGCCATGAGCCACAGTAGTGCCACCGTGTGGCCACAATATCAGCCCAGTTTATAATTTAGGTGTTTCTGTTTATGTATTTTTTAAAGTAAATCTGGGTCATTTGCATTATTTTATTTTATTTTGTTTGAGCTTTTCCTCTTTTTTTTTTTTTTTTAATATGTTTTATTAATTTTTTTAGAGCAAGAGGAAGGGAGAGACAGAAACATGGATTGGCTGCCTCCTGTATGCCCCCTACAGGGGATCAAGCCGGCAAGCTGGGCATGTGCCCTGACCAGGACTCCAACCAGGACCCCTCAGTCCACAGGATGATGCTCAATCCACGGAGCCACACTGGCCGGGCTATGTTTATGTTTTAGTAATTATTTCCAGTGCTTGTGTAGCTCATATCACACAATTTTAACCAATTAACATCCTTGCTGTTCAGTTTTTAAACTTCTTGTATTCATAAAAAACATGTATGAATACATATCTTGATGAATACATATTGTCTTGCTATATTGAAGTAATAAATTGACATATTATTTATAATCCTGAAATGCAGACATATATGCACACAGTTTTTTGTGTTTATTATATTTTTCTTTCCTGCATAGAAAGGTTATCACATGGCTTTCCAAATTGGTTGTTTTGTATCTTTTAATGCCTGAGAAATGGCCTTATTTGTAATTTTGAACTTCTCTGAGGAAGATTATTTATTAAAATATTATTTTTAAAAGAACACAGATTACTGAAATAGCAAATTTCCTTTCTTCACATTACCCTATGTTAGTTAACACTCCCTGTATTTAGGAAAAAAATGGCAAGAATGTACCTGTAGTGCTCTTATCAAAAATGGTAATACAAAATTCTTTGGACATTTCCGTTTTAACAGGCCAAGTTTCTGATGAAATTCCTTCTGCTGAAATACAGTACTTAGAATTCAGGGGGGACACCGGAATACTTAAGTGGCATTGAGTGTCGTCGCAATGATCTTCCTTCAGTTCATACACAGTATCTGCAATCTGTATGGGAAAACAAAAAGCAACCAATGAAAATGCATAGCCCCTTTTAATCTGAAAAACAAACAAAATCAAATCACCATATTTAAATTGGCCAAACACCTGGAGAAAGCATATATGTGATAAATGTTGAACATGTCTAAAAACAGTGTTGATACCAAATAATAAGTCAATTTGTTACTTCAACATAACATGATGTATCCATCAAAATGTTCTTTAAAGGGATTATACATTTAAAAACAAATAGCAGGAATGTTTCATTAGTCCTATTTCTATAATGCTAGAAATTTAGCTGTTGAGAGATAAAAGCATCTTATAGGAAGAATAATACAGGTATTATGCAAAGGCTGTTGAATCTCTTGGCAGTAATTCAAAGAAAGGATTGAAGCGATATTTGGGAGTTTATCATTCATTGAAGCAGCTGAAGTGTGTGGATCACCTGTGCTAGAGCTGAAAACTCCAAGGCAGGACAGTGGTGGCCGGATCTCAAATAACTTACTACAGTATATGGTGTAGAAGGGAGATAAGAAAGAAATGTAAGAGAGTAATGAGTACTGCAAGGGGACTTCTATATGGAACTAGGAATAACCAGACCATAGAAGAGTAAATAGTCTACCGTATCAGAAAAGAATTCAAAGGGGAGACGATATGTCAGTTAATACTGATGAATGAATAGAAATTTGCCAAAGGAGAAAGCTGGAGAAGGACATTCTATGAAAGAGCATGTTACTTACAGGGAACTAAGAACAGCAAGTGGTTCACCAAAGCATGAATGAAAATAAGGTTGGAAGGAATGGGGAGACAGGGTGCTGGAAAGGATTCAAGAGGCCAAATCATGAAGGCTTTTTGGCCATGCCAGGAAAGAGAATTGAGGTATTATTTTCTAGCTAATGGGGATTTGCTAATGGGTTTTAAGCAGTGCAGTAATAAGGTTAGATGTGCACTCTAGAAACAACTCTGCTAGCAACCAAAGTGACATTTTAAAACCTAAATCAGATGTCACTCTCCTGTTTAAATCTTTCCAGTGACCCAGTGACCTCTCTGACCTCATCTGCTTCCACACCCTGTGCAGCTTTGCTGCTCCCTTCACATGCCCAGTGTCCTTTTGTCAGGCTCTTGCTGAAACACTTTGCCCACCATCATCCATGCAGCTCACTCCTCACCTCCTCCAGCCCTGGCTCCAGTAATACCCGTCCCGCAGGTGAGGACCGCTTTGACCACCCCACTGACTCACTCCTGCCCCTACCCCCCTGCCCAACCCTCTTCCCTGCCTTTTCTCCATAGCACTTGTCACTGCAGTTCTGTTTGTACTGCTCAATGCTCTGCCCTGGTGCCTAGAAGGCATGGAGCACATGCTAGAGAAAATATTGTTAAATAAAGGAATGGCAGCGCTGTGGCAAATGGATGGAATAGAATAATTTGTGATCTGCACACCAGTGCCAGAATGTAATTATATCCCCACAGTACTACTGTTAACTTTTTCTCTCAAAAACAATGACTCCAATTAGAACTGTGTAATTTTATGTTACTACCAAGGAGGAAGAAAAGATTAAAATTATTCTCTTACCATTGAAGAAATGAAATATACAGGTTAATAGCCTAGATTAGGGCTATGTAGTTATATGAGGGAAAGAAAAAACTTACATGTGTTCACCTGGCCAGTGTTAGTGATTAATTATGTCACCAATTCCATTCAATAGCATCTATATAGGTATTTCACTCTTCTTACCAAAACCCAGGATCTGTAAGTCTTGCCTGAATATTCATAAGCATTCTACTTCCTTACATTACATACAGAAAAAACTTATGTTAGTGACAGAAACATTTCCATTTTGAAAAAGATGAAATAGAAACACATACCGTGTTTTCATTTATTCTCACATACACCTTGTATGTGAACGCATAACAGATATCATACATGTTTCCCAGCTCTTCTTCATTTTCAGTAACTACAGGGTCAAATATATCAATAATGATTTGGTCCTCCTTATGTCTGATGCTCTGTTCAGGTGGTCCAATTTTCCCTGGGTGGGGAGAAAACAAAAAAGAAGTAGAATTAGTGGCCCTAGAACTTTATAGTACATAGTATAAAATTACCCAAATCAATCAACCTCCTCATTTTGCTGTTGTTCTAAAGCAGAACCACATTTAAACCCTTCCAAAAAGATCTAGAAGATATCCTAAGTGTACTTAACAAAAAAATGCTTAATGTATTTTCTCAGTCAAGAAGTATTCTTATGTAATCTAAAACTCCTCTTTAACAGTTTAAATTCATTTTGAGTCCTAAAAAAAAATAGGTGGTCATGAATCTTTGTAAAAAAACGTTGACATAATAGAAGCTCTATTGAGTTATTTTTCCTTTATCTTTGATTCTGTAGACTTAAAAAAAACAAAAACATTTTCTTAAAAAAAAAAAAGTTTTAGAAAAGGCATTTTAATTATCTTTAAACGCTCACAGTGACTTTTTGTATCTCCAACACTTATGGATGTCTGGCATGAAGGCTCCATAAAAGTGTGCTAAATATTTTTCAATTTTTACTGTGAAAATCAGAACTAGATCTTCATTCATTCAAAAACTATTTATTATGTCTTTGATGTTTGAGACTTTGTTGGCGAACCATTTAACTGTTCTTCACAGACTCAGTGCGCACCTGCTGTGTGCCAAGCAGGTCTGTCTTTACTCACCCAAGCATCCTCGGGCCTAGCACACTTTCTGGCGTACAGTGTGCCTTTGGCACATCATGTGGGAAAACTCTGATGTACAGAGGGTATAGCTATCAGATGACAAAGGCGTCGTGACCTCTGGGGAATAAAGCTAATTCAAGGGCAAGTAGAGAATGAGCTGTAGAAGAGACCAAGTAGGCACAACCCAGAAAGAAGGAGCAGAAGGAGGCGGTGTGGAAGTAATGAAGCATGAAGTTGAACAGGAAGGAAGCGAAGCTGGGAGGCAAGGTGCTGAAGGAGTAGAAGCCTAGGGAGCAGTCAGGTTGCCTAAAGGCTTCTGCCCAGGAGTGAGGGCGTGAGAGCTACAAGGGAGGATGTTAGTTAGAAAACAGGACCTGGCACTGAAGATTCTGGAGCTTGAAGTGACAGGAAAGATCAGGTCAACTATGGCAACGTGATGCTGGAAGCAAGGAAAGCTGAAAATCACTGGGGTTGAAGAGATTACAGAACTCTGATATTTTTTAATGCATGAAGCTGATGTTAAAATTCCCACAGGCCTGGAGGATTTAAGGTAGAGAAGAGAGAAGAGCATCTGCCAAAGTCCTCAGTGAATGTAACTTATAAAGGAATGACGAAGACAGGAAGGGGAAGGACAGTGCTGAGTCTAGTTGGACAACACTGATCCACATATTTAAATGGAATGGAAATGGAATAGTTTAGTAGAGGCAAAATCACGGGCACCTATTAGGCCTATTTTATGGGGCTTGGGAGAAGTGGAAGACACAAATTCCCTAAGTTGTTCCAAATTCTTGGGCATTGTAATAATTTTTAGCAACTGCCAATAAAAGCAAATATATAGAGAAGACACATGTAAATACTCTCAAATTTAAATTTTAGATGCGTATACATTCTACTCACACTGTCTGCACAAAATAAACTCTTTTGACTCTGCATAGGCTGATTCTTTTTGTCCAAGCCTAGCTTTAACTCTGGCCCAGAGAGTACGTGATGGATCATTAATCATGGAAAAGATGTTGCAGTGATTCTGAGAGGTATTGCAGGCATCAACCCATTTTGGCTCCCTAAAATGAAAAGGAAAAAGAAACACAAAGGTAACTTTTATTAATATATAAACTTGAACCATCTCTGTCTATGTTTTGCTTTTCATTCACAGCATGAAGCTGGTAGAAAGAGCTAAATAAGAATAGGATAGCCCTAGCTGAATGTGGCTCAGTTGGTTGGGCCATCATCCTGTGCACCAAGAAGTTGCTGGTTCGATTCCCAATCAGGGCACATGCCGGGTTTGCAGACTTGATCCCCAGTAAGGGGCATGCAGGAGGCAGCTGACAGATGCTATGCGCTCACACTGATGTTTCTCTCTTCTCCTTTTCTCTCTAAAAAAAATCAATAAGCTATTCTTTAAAAAAAAAAAAAAAAGAATAGGATGAAGAAGCTAAACAAAGCAGAAAGGACGCCCTTACTCTTTGGTCAAAAGTACTACAAATTCCTTTACAATAAAGAGGCTCAATTCCAATTACAAGATCTGTACATACCATATCGCTCTTTAAACAACCCTAGTTTCCATGAACATAATCATTACTCAATTACAGAATCTAATACATTATAAAGACTCCTAATATTTGTCAAAAATTTTTTTGGAAATTTTAATCTTTTTGCTCAACAATATCTATACACCATAGGAAATAAGATGACATTACCTTTAATACAGAATTATAAGTTTTATTATCATGCCTTAAGAACTGGGAAGTAAGCCTGGCTGGAATGGCTCAGTTGGTTGAGTGTAGTCCTATGCACCGAAAAGTTGCTGGTTCGAGTCCTGGTCAGGGAACATTATCTGGGTTTCAGGTCTGATCCCTCAGGCATGTACAGAAGGCAACAACTGATGTTTCTCTCTCACACAGATATTTCTCTCTCTCTCTCTCCCTTCCTCTTTCTTAGCATGTCCTTGGGTGAAGATTAAAAAATATATATTTAAAAAAAAAAATCTGGGAATTTAGTGATACTTGTCTACTTCAATTCTGACAGGAAAAACTAAGAGGCAGGAAGTATTCTGAAAAGAACTAATTTGCACCCTTACTTAGCACTTCTGGAAGTGTACAAGCAGTTCTGGAAGTTTTGCTCTGTGAGAAGGATAATAGAAGGGAACACAAAGTTATGGAATATGCAAGGACCTAGACAAAAACAGAATAAAAAGGATAAGACAGTAACACTGACCCGTAGGTCTTCACCTCTACAGTAAAAACAGGCTTCTGCGGCATTATTGTGTAATTCCAAAATACGATAGCTTCTAAGTTATAGGCCTCTATGGTCACATTGGTTGGTATAGGCACTGAAAGAGAGTCAAAAGAAAAATGGGCAATAGTAAAAAAATTAACATTAACATTAGAAAACTTTATAATAAGAAGCCATGTTAACCAAATATTAAAATAGACATTTTGAAAAAGGATTCATCAAATAAATAATAAATTTTTTTCAATTAGGAGATTTCTAAAAATACCTTTTTTGAAAAATCTATAGAAGAGTTCTGATTCATTTTAAATTACTGATGCAACATTGTGATATAAGGGGAACACAAATATAATGAGAGGAAATAAATTCCTATGTTTTAGGAGTTTTAAAAACAAATGCACTGCTTGCTGTAATAATAATCCTCAATTCATTTAATCACTAGAACTTTCTATATATGGTACCACAGATTGTATTCAATGTCTAGAGAAGAACTGGCTACACTAGGGATGGCTAATTTCACTCTAAAATACCACGCAGGCTCTCAACCCTATACCCAGTGCTATTACACACCCTGAGTGCCTTTTCTATAGCACATGAATAGATGCCATGGAACAATCCAATTTCATCTTTGCTCTCTAGAGTGTGCAGGGCTTTTTACAAAACAAAAGCAATATTTCTTCTTGTCTTGGCTCTTTCAAACCATTTTATAAAACTCTTGTTGATAAGATGTGAGCCATATGAAGTCATTTTAATATCTTTTCACCAGACATTACCAAAATGGCAATCCAGTTATTAAAAGTAGCCATTTTCCTTCTGGTAAAAGGTTGTTATCCACCACCTCTTGGAAAATTGAATACACACATCCACGCATACATCTCCTCAACACCTCCTTTCCCCTCTCTTTCCCTCCTGCCTCCCTTCCCTTCTTCATGAATAAACACAAAGGTATTATATACAGTCAGTAATATGACCCAAAACAGAAAATTCTATTAAACATGATTTACTTATACAACTAAAATAAATAAATGAATGGCAATGTGACCAAGATTCAGTGGCTTCCTAACATAATTTATCATCCTCCTCAAAAATTCTAAGAGCTATAAGTATACTTTTTAGAGCATCTCAGATAATGATGATCACTCAGATTTATATCAAGCAGACTGCTCTAATATGAAAAATATTCCCTGGGTTGGACATTACGAAATCTGGGTTCTTTCCTGCTAAATAGTTATGCTAATAGTAATGCTAAATAATTATTTCAGATTTCCTCATCTATCGAGTGAGGTGTTAATTTCACACACATATGATATTTGCCTTCTGCTGAAGGAAGCACCTACTATATAGTGTGTAGCAGGGTAGACTGAAGCTTCCTCATAGGGCTCCTTTTTATTTGTATCCTGAAACAGTCTAGTCTCAAATAGTTTATACTCTAGGGTTGAAGTGGAAATAAAAGGTACAACTCTGGGTTCAATTCAACATTAATGTCAATAATAATCACACATACAAACATAATTTTGCAACCAGATAAGAAAAAGAAGTACCTGATGCTAAGAAAACTCATGATGAGTCTGAACTTCCTTTAGAAGCCATTTCTTAATTTTAGCATCTTTTACCTCTCCAGAGACTGAGAAATTTCAAACCAACAAGTCCTGGTTTCTTTTTGTTTTACAGTCTTTTCCCCTTAATTACTCTCTCTAGTTTTTCAAGAAGAAATGACATGGCACCTTCAATGCTTTGCTTGGAAACCTCCTGTAAGGTCACGCAGATCACCGGGTACCTTCAGTGTAGCCAAGCTTTCTGCCACTACATAACAAGGATCTGCCTTCCCCAGTTTCCAATGACAGGTTCCGCCCTTCCTTTTAAGCCCCTTAAAATACTACTCCCAATTTATCATCCTCCAATTTATCATCACAATGGGGATGTCTTTTTAACTGCATTTACTCAATCTGAAATTTCTATATTTGAGGAAAAGGCATATAGAAGTCAATCTATATACTAGAATATCAAATAAAGTCCATTTATATTTAAGAGGTTATTGAATCATATAAACCACAAACAACAGTAGATTTGTACTGTTAGGTTAGTTTTTAATGTGAATCAAACTATGTTTCCCATAATTTAAGTAAAAGCTTGACATGGTTAGACCAAGACAAGGACTTGAATCATAGCTTTCAAAGTAATCGAGACATATAGGTGGCAGGAGAAAGAGGTTCCGATGGATGACAGAAGACAGATGACTAGTAGATTAAAGGAGAAACTTTTAAATATTTACATAAAAGGATATAACTTGTGGTTTTAACACTACCAGAAGAGAAACCATGTGGTTATTAGATATCTGCTTTTGTCATCTTTGCTAAAATCACATAATAGACATGAGTAGTTTTCTCATTAAAACTCAGAATTTTGTAACCTAAAGTTTAAATTGTTACATATTCTGATTGAAATAATTAAGGCTTACAGCAAACTTCAATTCATAATAAATTTACATTATATAAATAAAACTACATGTATAAATAGTAAGACAGTATTATGCCTAGAGTTTAAGGCAAGATCCTACCAATAGCATGAAATAAAATAATCTTAGAGATTTCCCCATCTCTTTGAAATACCCAGATGGACAGTTTCTGTAACTGATGTTATTTTTGCATATGGATTCAGAGTTATTTGGTGCAAACTACCCAAGTAAACTAGCTATTTTATGATCTGCTTCCCAGAACACCTGTAGAAACTAGCAGCTGAGGATTTAACAAAGCCAAACATTAGAGAGAAGAATCAGTCTTTCATTACACTCAATTACAACACAGGGGAAAAAATTGAATTCTGGTTATAGCCAACTGTTTTCTCGTGATAAACTAGAACAGACAGGATATGAACAAAGAGCAAGGGAGGGGTCAAAAAATACCGATGAAGATTACAAGTCGTAATGCAGTACCACTAGAGAGGACAGTGGAGATGTCACCAAAAGATCAAAATACAGCAGCCAGAAGAGTTCTGTAATCATTTCTGAGGAAGGTAGGATGGAGGAAGCAGACAGCTACAGACATCTTGATTTCTTCTGTATGGATGGTGCCTCTACTCGAAGAGGGCCAGCCACAGGAGTTCTTCACTAATTTTAACACAACAGCATACAAAGACTATCTAGAAGATAAGTACATCTATGGCAGAACACAGCTCCATACTCTGTAGACACCATTCCACAATCTGCTTAACAACATCTCCAAGGGAAGGACAAAATGAGGAGCAAAAGAGAAGTGAGAATAAAGGGGCTGGTAAGTAAATTGTTTTTGTGGATTTAAAGTCACCTAACACCACTACTCCAAAACAAATGCTCCAAGTTAAAGCATCTAGATCTTTTCCGAAATGACACCTTTCAGATAAAAGATCTAACGCCCTCCCCACATTGAAGATGCAGGGCCATGGGTATTTTCATACATGTTTCTTCCTACATTGCAAACTGAGAAATGACATGAGAAATCCAGACGGAAAAAGTAAAAAATATCAAAACGAGACTTTTGCATTTTTTTCAGAATATATATTTTTTCACAATCTACCTCCTGAATGGTTTTATAATGTTGATAAAATGGCTATTTTTCTAAATGCTTTCCAACTTTTTCTCTTTTTATTTTTTTCTTTCCATTTTATTGGGATATAACTGATATAGCTGATAACAACATTGTATAAGTTTACAGTGTACACTGTACAGCATAACTTGACTTGTGATGAGAATTTCTAGAATCTACTCTCTTAGCAATTTATGAATGTACCATATAGCAGTGTTAGCTATAGTTATCATGTTGTACATTATATCCCCATATTATTTTCTTATACCTACCTGCAGAAGTTTCAGAACTAAGGGTTCAAGTGAGAGCACCTCAAATACTTCAAGTCTATTTTACCTTCTGTGTGATAGTTCCTCAGCTGGGTCAAGACCCTCCCATATCCCTGAAGTCTCCTCTTATTCCTGTCTGCCTTTGGGACCTATTCTGGTTTTATCACTCACTGTATCTCTTAAAACATGAAGTCCAGAAGTAATGCAATAGATGTAACTAAAATACTTTTTTCCTCTCTGTTTTTTTTTTTTTAAAACATGGACATATGGAATAGTGGCTTATACTAAATGTGTAATTAACTAAAATCCCACAGGTCTTTCACTCAAACCACCACCAAGTGAGGGCTCACCCACTTTTCTGACCTGGAACACAGGATTTTATTCTTGCCTGTTTATCCAATTTCATCTAACTGGTGTTGTTTGGCATACCAGTGAATTCTAATTGGAAGAAACCCACCTAGTCACTGACAGTAGTCATCTCTCAAGATTAATTTCCCTCTGGACTAAGTCATTCTAAGTTCAGAAATAATTTAGGAACTGAAAAATTAAAAGAGGCCTTTTCAGTCTATGGAAAGAAAAAGGTAGAAGAACAAGTTAGCTGCTGTCTATTTTAAGTTTCTCCTATTGATCTGGATGAGTTTTATTTTTTTTAAGCCAACACAATTTCTCATATATAACTAAACAATTTAATATTTTAAAATATATTTTAAAAAATAATTATGCCACCTTGGCGAGTTTGACTCAGCAGTTAGAGCATCACCCTGTGGACCAAAGAGTCACGGGTTCAATTCTGGTCAAGGACATGTACCTCATTTGTGGTTCGTTCCCGGCCCTGGTTGGTGTCTGTCACATCGATGTTTCTCTCTCTCTCTCTCTCTCCTGCCCACTCTATCTGAAAATGAATGAAAAAAATATCCTTGGGTAAGGATTAAAAAAAATGGCCCAGCTGGTGTGGATCAGTGGTAGAGCATTTTCCCTTGCACCAAGAAGTTGCTGGTTCCACCTGGCTGGTATGGCTCAGTGGTTGAGTGCCGACCCATGCACCAAGAGGTCGCCAGTTCAATTCCCAGTTAGGGCACATGCCCAGGTTGTGGGCCAGGTCCCCAGTAGGGGGCATGCAGGAGGCGCCGATTGATGTTCTTTCTCATCGATGTTTCTCTCTCCCTCTCCTTTCCTCTCTCTCAGAAATCAATAAAGAAAATAAATTTTAAAAACAGGTTGCCGGTTCGATTCCTGGTCAGGGCACAGGTTGTGAGCCCGATCCCCAGTGGGGGCCATGCAGGAGGCAGCCAATCTATGTTCTCTCTCATCAATGTTTCTATTTCCCTCTCCCTTCCTCTCTCTCTAAAAAAAATGAATAAAAGAATAAAAAAGATTCATGTTATTGAATGACAATCATTAAAATATACTAAACATTTCCTACAGGACAAGGAATGTGCTCAACTTTTGTTTGTTTGTTTGTTAATCCTTACCCAAGGATGTTTTTCAATTGGTCTTTTAGAGAGAGTGGAAGGAAGGGAGGGATCGAGAGAGAGAGAGAGAGAGAGAGAAACATCAATGTGAGATAGATACATCAAGTGGTTGACTCCCACACCACCCTGACAGGGCTGGGGATCAAACCTGCACCCCAGGTATGTGCCCTTGACTAAAATTGAACCTGAGACCCTTCCTTCAGTCCTCAGGCCGATGTTCTAACCACTGAGCAAAACCAAATGCATTATTGCTGTGTGCTGCCAAATTTCATAAGGTAGCTCTTTAAATAAGTTATTTTTCTCTTCAATTATTTAGGTATTCTTTTATGTAGAATTGAAATATGGAACTTGCATCCATATAAATCATGAATCAGAATAAAATGAAAAAGAAAATTATTCTTAACACTTGTTCAATAAATACCATTAAAATGCATTATTTTCAATACCTGGAATCTCTGAAATAAATAAAAACAGAATCCAAAGAAAATAATGAAAAGTTTAAACACACCCGGAGCATTATCCTAAAGTCAGAGACTGAGTAGAAGCATAGCTGAAAAAGGGGAGGTGGGTTAAGAGCCCCCCATCGATAACACCGAGTGGGAGATCAAACTGGAAGAAGGTAGCCACTAACAGGCACTGATTCACTTAAAAATATATACTACTTTTACATGTAAAAGTGTATGAAAAGTGAAACACTACTGATTAGATGGCACGCATGGATTTAGCTTCCTATAAATTCACTTAAGAAATATTAATGGCAGCCCATAACTATAACATATTCCCAACCACTTGGTTTTTTCAAAGACTGGCTCTAATCCCTTGCCTGTTTCCCTGTTCCTACCAAGTCCCCTCATCTAATACGAACTTCCAAGCACGCAGTCATTGCTGTGACCTGCTCTGTAGCTTCGTTCCTCACCTTGGTTCACATCCTGGTCTTACCAAATACACAGTAAACCCAGCACTGTTATGAGTTAACACATCCAGTGTGTATTCAGTACCAGGCATTGGAGAGTCAGGGAAGCTAACCAAGAGCCAAAAGAAGATTGTTCCTTGGGGTGTTCCTCCCATACTCTGGAGAGTCTGCGTTTTAAACTAACTTTAAAAGCATAGGGAACACAACAAAACTAGAGAAATGCACTGAAAAAACTAGACAACTGTATTGAAAATGCACTGGAAAAAAGGGGGTGTCACTGACAGTTGTGTTTACAAAATGCTGGAGTACAGAAGGCCATAGCAGATCCTCCTAAGGAGGACGGGCAGACAATTCTACTCCCAAGGCCTGCTTCAAGGATATGCAAATGGTGCAGTCACAAGAGGCACCATGCTCAGGAGGGCCCTATACTGAGAAGGTAGTGCCTGGCATCTAGTTTAACACTGTGCTTGAGCCAGGAACCTGACTCATCCTCTTCTTCTCTTCTATATCCAGTTAGTCAGGAGTCTTGCTGACTCTGCCTTCTAGTCATCCAACTGTGTTCTCTCTTCTCCACTTCAATTGCCACTTCTCATCGACTCCTCCCAGCAACCTAACTGGCCTCCCTCCTTTGATTCTATCCTCAAACTATTTTATAAGATGGTTTTCCTAAATGGCATGTCTAATCCTGCATAAAATCATTTATGCTCTTAAAATAATCCAATGGCTGCCCACTGACTTGAGCAAGGTAGAATGAACAGATTGTTTTGTTAGTTCAGCACTCGTGCTTCTTTCAGGGACATTATTTCTCTTCTGGGAACTCCCCTACCACCATCCCCTGAAATTACATCTTCCCCTGTGAGCTGGCACCTGATCCAAGCTGGGCAAATCAGAGCCTTTCCTTGTGAGTCTGTTAGGATAGAGGAAGCTGCAAAATGTCACAATCCAAAAGCTGTCGACATCCATGATTCCTGCCAACTAGGGAGAGTGGTCAACACTAAGAGAGTTAGTAAAAAGAAATGGAGAGCCTTGGCAGTTTGACTTCCTGCTTCAGCTTTCTGAGGCCCAGATGGCATCTCTACCTTTCTGTTTAATTCTTGCTTAGACTCTGTCTCTGAGCCGATCAATTCCTCTTTTTGCCTATGTCAGGCAAAGCTATGCTTTTATCCTTTGCTGTTACATGTGACCATGACAAGGCACTTCATTAACTGGTTCCTTCTTCTCCAACTGTCCTAACTCTTCTTGTGTCCTCACATACATACTCTACAATAAAGTGTTTAATATTCCACTAATTGAACATGCTGTTTCACACCACTTCCTCTGCATACACAAGTGTCTCTGCACCTCCAGTTCCAACCCTGGGGTCATCTTCTCATCTTTCCTAACTCCCTTGGTCAGAGCCCAAATGCTGCTTTCCATTAGCCTGTGCAATAATTTCAAGCTCTTACAATGTACTACAGCTGCCTTGTGTATAACTTACTTGCCCTAGGTAATAGCAATTTGCAGAGTATATGTGGAATCTAATAAACAAAATAAACTAACAAAATAGAAACATACTCATAGATACAGAGAACAGACTGACAGCTGTCAGAGGGGAGGGAGGTTAGGGGACTGGGTGAAAAAGGTGAAGGGATTAAGCAAAAACAATAACAAACCTCGTAGATGGACAACAGTATGGAGATCACCAGAGGGAAACTGGGGTGGGGAGGTACAAGAGGGTAAACAGGGGATAAATGGTGATGGAAGGAGACTTGACTTGGGGTGGTGAACACATAATACAATATACAGATGATGTATTGTAGAATTGTACACCTGAAACCCATATAGTTTTATTAACCAATGTCAGCCCCCCAAATTCAATAAATTAAAAGGAAGAACAACAACCACTTGGAGTCACAACAACAACTTGGAGTCTGGATCCCAGCTGCCAACAACAACAACAACTTGGAGTCTGGATCCCGGCTGCCAGGGTGCCCGCTGCGTACCAGCAACCTCTCTACAAGTTGGGCAGACTTCTCTGTGCCTCAATTTTTCATCCATAACTGGAGATGTCAATAGTGCCTACTTTGTAGGATTGCTGTGAAAACGAGATGTGATGAGAATTTAACAATAGTGCCTATTGTGTTAACTATATAAACATGGTCCTTGAAAACGGAAACTAAGTAACTCCCACTTTTGTATTTCCAACACCTGGTGGTTACAATCTCCATCCTAAGGAATATGAGTATTTATTTGCTTGACTTTTCAAGAACAAGCCAAAGGACAGCTGGATATGAATGCAGCACGTCTAGCAGGAGCTCATGGAGTAAGTCATGACACAGAGCTTCAGACCCAGAGTTTGCCAAGGCTGTTGGAGGTTGGGCCTCCCTGACCCCTTCCAGGTGAGCACTAGCTGTGGGCACTGAGGAGACTCACTCAAGACTGACGGGGTTTCCGATCATTTAGGTTGATCCCTCTTGCAAAAGACTCCGAACCACCATTACACCGAGCTTTAGAAAAGCGTATTCTCAGCATGTTTCCTGGGAAATCTCAATGAGCGGGCGGAAATAAAATGCTTCCAGGAACTAGCTATGAGAAGAGACCCACCACCTGACAAATCTGGCTGCTGAGTGCTGGCACTGCACCCCACTGAAACGTAAGACGGCCAATCACTGTCTCAAGTCTCAGCTGGCGACAGAACAACTTCGCTCCCAGCCTAAGGATCCGGGGTCCAGCCTAAGAGTAGAGTATTAAGTCACGAGCTGCGGCCAATTTACAAATGCTGACCAGGAAACTCACGCATTTAAACCTGAATATGAAGAACGAAGAGCTGCCAGGCGTGTTTTGTTTTGACAACGGAGGAAGCGAGAGAAAGGGAACTGAAGCGTGCAAACCGCGGAGACCGGCGGTCGCCTTCCCGGCGGCCGCCCCCACACCGCGCGACACCCCAGAGCGCCCGAGAACCGAGCGGTTCGGGAGAATGCGGGTGCGGCCCGCTGGGCGGGGCGTCCGGGCCCGGCGGCTCCCCCTTCCCCCCGACCCATCCGAGGACAGTACCAGAGGACAGCGCCGGATCCACGGTGCTCGTTTCAGCCCAGTTCGCGGCCTGCGTGATGAGGGCGAGGAGGAGGAGAGACATGCTGCTCCGGACACTCGGCTGCAGCCCCGAGCGGCAGCGAGAGCCTTACCGCGGGCCCCTCCGCCCTGGGCTCACGTCACTTCCGCCACCGCGGACCAGCGCTCCAGCAGGCGACCGGGGGTGGACAGTGCCGGCTGCAGACCAGGAGGCGGGACTAGGTCCTGGAGACCAGACAGAAACCGGGAGACTGGGCCTGGGCGGGGCCGGAAAGGGGGCGGGCACAGGTCATTGGGGCGGGGCGGGGCGGGGCCGGGTTGGGCGGGGTCTGGGCGGGGCGGGAGGCGGGCCCAGGGCGGCGGGACGCTGCCAGGAATGGGACCCTGACGTGAAGAGGCGGGACGCCGCCTGGGAAGGGGATCCTGGGAGGGGAGGCAGGACTAGGACCAGAAGACAAGTAGAACCCTGTTTCGAGGGGTCAAGGCGTTAGGGGCACAATACAACAGTCTGGGGTCGCAGCCTGGGCTCAGGAGTTTGTGAGGAGCTTGGGTCCAAAGGTTACGGGTTGTCTCCTCCTCCTCCCCCCAAGGCTTGGCAACCCCCCTCCCGACTTCCACTTCCCATTTTCTCAGTATCTTGGGAATGCAGGCCTTGCGCTAGGCCACAACCCAGCCGCAATCGTTTTACCCTATTAGAGGTCGCCATCAAGGCATCCGGGAACCTGAGAGTTTACAAGAGAAAGAGCCCTTAAATGCCTCCTCTAATTCCTGCATTGGTATTTGAGGGAACCTGAAGATTCGCTGGTGAAATGTTTTGTGCAAACTTCTGAAACGTGCTGCCTGTCACTACCAGAACCAGTAGAGATAAGGATTGAATCCTGATGGGCGCTTTATTCAGATGGCTGGCAATCCGAGAACACGGCAGGTTACCTACTCTAAAAATACCATTTTACATCTAATTTCAAGCCGACCCATTTTATAAGGAGAAGAAAGTGTAGGTGAGTTTAGAATTCAGGAGAAAGTAGGTAAGGGGTTTGGAATTCAGGGGAAAAGGTTAATCAGATAAAAGCTGCAGTTCGGTGATTTTCCAGGCATCCCTTCATCTGCCAGTAGGTAAGGGGTTTGGAATTCAGGGGAAAAGGTTAATCAGATAAAAACTGCAGTTCGATGATTTTCCAGGCATCCCTTCATCTGCCAACTGGTTATTCTTTTTTTTTTTCCCCATTTTTGTTCAGATAGAGTGGGAGGGAGAGAGAGAGAGATAAACATCCACGTGAAAGGGACACATCGAGTGGCTGCCACCTGCACAACCAACCAGGGCCAGGGAAAAACTGCAACCAAGGTACGCCCCCCCCCCCGGGAACTGAACCCGGGTCACTCTGGACTGCAGTCCGATGCTCTAACCGCTGAGCCAAACTGGCCAGAGCCGACTGGTTATTCTTTATCTGTATCCTGGGTGGCAGACATTCTCTCCCTGGAGCACAATGGCTCAGACACTGTCTTGGTCATGTTGTGACGCGACAGAATCAAAGAAAGACCACTAGAGAATTGAAGTCCAAATAAGAGCCGTTTATTAGCCAGCCATAGTCTGATTCCGAACACTCCTGTGACAGAGTCTTTGGAACCAGCCTTGATATGCTTTATTACATGCCTTTTATACCTTACAGCAAAAGTTTAATGCTATAAGAAAATAGGATCTTCTTGATATAATGCCCAGGGCTACAACAATGCTATATAGAATTAGTTTGCCTTGTGGATAACAGGAACACCCAGGAATACCCAGGCATTTCAGGTATTTCAAGGTACATTGGGTCACACTTAGGCCTGAGCTGCACAAACACAATGCAAGCCCAATTCCTTGAGATTGTTGGGGAGGTCTCTGACTCAAGACCTCCAAGCTCTGTGGACTCAGACGTCAGCCCGCTCCCAGCAATCTCTTAGTTCAGGGGGTCTTTACAAAACAGGTTCAGCTAGAGGGCACACAGTGACTTTCCCAATCATCAATTATGGAGCTCTAAACAAGTCAGCACAATAATTTACCAATCATCAATTATGGGGTTATAAACATGCCAGCACATTCCCCACTGGTTTTTTTGAGCAATCAAATCATTGTTTCCTCATCATTTTCAGTACAGATATGCTGATAATGGGTCCGTAAGACCATAAATTACACAGCCTGGATTCTTTTTCTAACATATGCAGTGAAGCAATTTATTACGCAAGGTCCAAGAAACAGTCCTAGGGTGATTAGTATTAGGGGACCTACAGCAGCAGATAAGAGAGTAGTTAGCCATAGGGACCAGTTATATAATCCCTCAAACCAGTTGTCACCGTTTTTTCATTGTTCCTCTCTCTCTTTCAGTCTTTGTTTCACATAGACAAGCTGTCTTTGATAATGCCAGAATGATTGGCATAGAAATAGCAGGTTTCCCTGAGGGCCAGAATAGGTCAAGTCCTCTCTAGTTCTGGAGGACTACCTCTGCTAAGGAATTTAATGAATTTTCTTTTTTCTTTTTTTTTTTCCTCACCCGAGGATATTTTTCCATTTTTTGTATAGATAGAGTGGGAGGGAGAGAGAGGAAGGGAGAGAGAGAGAGAAACATCGACGTGAAGGGACACATCGAGTGGCTGCCACCCGCACGACCAACCAGGGCCGGAGACAAACTGCAACCGCAGTACATGCCGTTAGCGGGAACCGAACCCGGGTCTCTCCAGACCGCAGGCCAACGCTCTAACCACTGAGCCAAACTGGCCAGGGCAGGAATTTAATGAATTTTCTAAATGGGAGACTGACTTTGCAGATCTTGTAGATCTAGATCTATTCAGTGACTTAGAGTTTTGAAGTTTTTGTCTCCAGTTATAAGAACAGCAGTTCCTACCACAGTGGAGCCTGCCAACACTATGCCTACTAGGAGGGGCACAAGGATAAGGGCTCTTTTGGTCTACTGCATCTGTAATCCAAAATGTTCCCATTCCACTTCTCCAGAGTAAAAAGAAACCTGTGGAATAACATGGGTTAGTATACAGAGGCCAACTTTATTTATTTATTATTATTTTTAATTTTTAATTTTTCTTTTTGTTACAGATGTTTCTCCTTTTATACCCCATTGGCAACCCCTCCCCACCCCTCCCCACCCCCTCCCCACCCCATCCCCGGCTTTGTTGTCCATGTCCATTGGTTATGCATACATGCATATAAGTTCTGTGGTTTATCTCTTCCCATCCTCCCCACCCCTTCTTCTGAGGGATGTCAGTCTGTGCCCTACTTCCATGTTTCTGGGTCTACCGTATTCCTCAGACGGTTATGTTCATTATATTCCGTATATGAGTGAGATCATGTGGTATTTGTCTTTTTCTGCTTGGCTTATTTCACTTAGGATAATACTTTCCAGGTCCCTCCATGTCGTCTCAAAGGATAACAGATCCTTCCTTCTTACAGTTGCATAGTACTCCATTGTGTATATGTACCACTGCTTTTTTATCCATTTGTCTACTGATGGACACTTGGGCTGTTTCCAGATCTTAGCTATTGTAAATAGTGCTGCTATGAACATGGGGGTACATGTATTCTTCCTGATTGGTGTTTCAGGCTTCTTAGGGTATATTCCTAGAACTGGGATCACTGGGTCAAATGGCAATTCAATTTTTAATTTTTTGAGGAAACACCATATTGTTTTCCATAGTGGCTGCACCAGTCTGCATTCCCACCAGCAGTGTACCAGAGTCCCCTTTTCTCCACACCCTCACCAACACTTGTTGTTTGATGATTTGTTGATGGCAGCCATTCTGGCGGGTGTGAGGTGATACCACATTGTTGTTTTAATTTGCATCTCTCTGATGATTAGTGATGTTGAGCATTTCTTCATATGTCTCTTGGCCATTTGTATGTCCTGTTAGGAGAAGTGTCTATTTAGTTCCTCTGCCCATTTTTTAATTGGGTTCTTTGTCTTCCTTTTGTTGAGTTGTATGAGTACTCTATATATTTTGGAAATTAACCCCTTATCTGATGTATCATTGGCAGTGATGTTCTCCCATATAGTGGGTTGCCTTTCCATTTTGATGATTGTTTCTTTTGCTGTGCAGAAGCTTTTGAGTTTGATGTAGTCCCATATGTTCATTTTTTTCCTTTGTTTCTGTTGCCTTAGGTGATGTATCAGTGAAAATTCTGCTGCGTATGATGTCCGAAATTTTATTGCCTACATTTTCTTCTAGAATTTTTATGGATTCACGGGTCACATTTAAGTCTTTTATCTATTTTAAGTTTATTTTTGTGTTTGGTATAAGTTGATGGTCTAGTTTCATTTTTTTGCATGTAGCTGTCCAATTTTCCCAACACCATTTATTAAAGAGGCTGTCTTCACTCCACTGTATGCTCTTGCCACCTTTGTCAAATATTAGTTGAGCATATGGCCTTGGGTCCATTTCTGGGTTCTCAGATCTGTTCTGGTCTATATGCCTGTTCTTGTGCCAGTACCAGGCTGTTTTGATTACAGTTGCTTTGCAGTATACCTGATATCTGGTATTGTAATCCCACCTACTTTGCACTTCTTTTTCAAAATTGCTGTGGCTATTCAGGGACGTTTTTGGTTCCATATGAACTTTTGAAGTATTTGTTCTAGTTCTGTGAAATATGTTGTTGGTATTTTGATGGGGATTGCATTGAATCTATAGATTGCTTTGGGTAGTATGGACATTTTAATGATGTTAATTCTTCCAATCCATGAACAAGGTATGTGCTTCCACTTTTTTATATCTTCCTCTATTTCTTTTTTCAATGTCCTGTAGTTTTCTGCAAATAAGTCCTTTACTTCTTTGGTTAAGTTTATTCCTAGGTATCTTAATTTTTTTGCCACGATGGTAAATGGGATTGTTTTTTCAGTTTCTCTTTCTGTGAGTTCATCATTGGTGTATACGAATGCTGTCGATTTCTTGACGTTAATTTTGTATCCTGCTACTTTGCCAAATGCATTTATTAAGTCTAGTAGATTTTTGATGAAGTCTTTAGGGTTTTCTATGTATAATATCATGTCATCTGCAAATAATGACAGTTTCACTTCCTCCTTTCCAATTTGGATCCCTTTTATTTTTTCTTCATGTCTGATTGCTATAGCTAAGACTTCCAGTACTATGTTAAATAAGAGTGGC